AAGTATTCGCGTAGGATATTATTAATTATCCGTTAAAAGGTAGCTAGTATATTTATAAGTCTAAATAGCATTACTAGATATTTAAATAGTCCGAATTTCGTTCTAAAGGCTATTATCTATTCGTATCCCTTTTTTATACGTATTAAGTTATAGGCGCCTTTAAGGTCGAGGGCTATAAACTATTTTTTACCGTATAGTCGATCTTATAGTTCCGATATAAGCGGTAATAGTATTCGGTCCTTTATTATAATATCGTTTAAGCGTCTATAGTCGATAACTAGTCGTAGCTTACCGTTTTTCTTTAGAATAAATATAACTAGATAGCCTACTTCGGATATTAATATTCGTATATATCCCTTTCGTAGATTCTCGTCGAGGTAGTCGCGTAGCGTTTATAGTTGCTTTTCGTTTAGGTTATAGATTTTATAGAACGTCGGCGTTATTCTATCCTTAAGATAAATTTCGTGGTCCTATTAGCTATATTTAGGTAACCCTATCTCGAGTTCTTCCTTAAAGAGTTCATCGTATTTCCGGTATTCCTAGGGGATATTCTTTATTCTATCTTATAGGCTTTATTCTTTCTTTTAAGAGCTAGTTTCTCTTAACTTAAGCTCTTTATTAATTTATTTAAGGTCTTTCCTTAGAGTAGCAATAACTCTTCGGATCTTCGTATTATATCCTTTATTCTATTTATATCGGATGCTAGGTTATATAGCTGTGTTAGTTAGTACGTAGGTCTTATTAGTCGATTTTATTATATCCGCCGGTTCGGTTACTATTTTCGTTTATATCGCTAAAGCCCGTAATAATTTACTTAAACGGTTATCCCTTTTATCCTATTTATTAGCTAAATTATCGTAAAATTTTACTTTCTCCTAAATCTACTAGTCCTAGAAACTTACGTCTTCGTTCTAACGTAGCTAGCTAGTTCTCTAGTTAATTAGTAGGTTGCTCTCCTATAGCTATAGAAGTCCTAATATAAGGTCGTGTTCTCTAATATCTATAATATCGAAGTTAACTCGTTCGTCGTAGCCCTAGATATTAATATCGAGGTAATTAATCTCTATATTAATAATTCCGTTATTATAGTTAAAGGCCTCTCCTTCGATATTCGTAAGTTTATATAGATCTATCTTATATCTCTATATAAGTCGGTAACGATTAACGACTCTAGGTAAAACGTAATTGCCTATCGCGCCGTAGTCTAAAAGTATACGTACGTAATATCCCGCGATTTAGATATCTAATACTATTTAGTCGCTATAGCTTACCGTTACTATATATAGGGTCCTTAGATCTTATCGTATCGTGCTAGTCTATAGCCCTTTTATAGATAGCGTACCTTGTTTTTTGCCTAGTCCTTATTCGTTTTATTTAGGTATTCTTCTTTAATTTATTATTAATATTGTTTCTTTATATTTTTATCGCGTAGTATTATATCGGGGCTTAAGAGACTAATTTCTTATAGCTAATCGAAGATTTCTTATTTCTTAACGCTATATCGTTTATATTATACTACTTTATAGTTAATTGCGTACTATACTTCGCAATTTTATTCGTTTTCGTACTAAAGGTTAAGTTTTCGTTTAGCGTCTTTCTGTTTTTCGCGTAGCGTTTTCGTATCGATTTTTCCTTAGTCGAATACGGCTTATAGCCTTCGTATATATCGCTAATAATCTTTTAGTATACCGTTATATCGTTTATACTATGCTCGTGCTTTTTCGTGTTTATAAATTCTATAGTTCGGGTATACGTATTCGTTATAATCTTCTTCGTCGCATTTAATTCGTTGCGTAAGTCTTTAGAAGATTAATAGTTCGGATACCTTAGAGCGAGTAGCGTTATGCTATTCCTCTATTTTAGCGTATTTATAGATTTTATATATCTCCGAAAGATATCTCGTTAATAAACCGTAATCATCGCGGCATTTAAGTAGCGTGCTATAATCGGGTTCTAATAATATAACTTAGTCGTCTAGGTAGCGTTAATCGATTTTCTAGTAGTCTAGTTCTATACTTAGGTAGGGTTTCGAAAGTACTTATCCTTCGAACCTAACTAGGAAGGCGTCGTATCGTGCCTTTATCTAGAAGTATATTATATAATCTAAGTAGACGTATAATATCTATAAAATATACTTATAGTACTTATAAGTAAGTAGTATTTATAGATCGTCTTTAAATTCTCCTCGTAGTTACTATTCTCGTTATAGAGCTATAAAGGTATCGACTACGGCGATAGCTATAGCGTAGTCTCCTCCGCGTAGTGCCGGTTAATATCGAATTAATATAGCTTATTAGTTTTCCGTAAGAATTTAAGGTATTTATTAGGTTTTAATTTTAAGTATTTCTTTAAATTCTTCGAAGTATAGAGCGTGTTCTCTAATCGTAGCATTTTCCCTTAATAGCGAGGGTAGTAGTACGAGTTCGTTCTCGTCTTCCGTTTCTCTAGGTATTTCTTATTCTTTAGAGCTTATATCGTCGATACTTCGTTATTCTTCTTTAGGTTATTATCCGAGTTTCGTAAGCATAAGGGCTACGTCTATATCTTCTTTATTATATTATTTATAGACTACCTATCGTTATTATCGATTTTTATTTTATATATCTTCCTAGAATCGTTTGCCGTTCTTCCTAATCTAGTCTTAGGAGACTCCTTTAGGATAGGGGTATTCCGGTTCTACGAATTTAACTTATTTCTATATTTTAAGATCCCTTCGTTATATTATTATAAGGGTTTTCTTTAGTTACTTTAGGAACTATCTAGTACCGTTTTTATCGCTTAAGTATACTATATATTCGTCGTCGTAGTATATAGTCTAACCAAGGAGTTTATACTTTAGTTCCTATCTATTAGTAGCGTTTAGGTATTTCTTACCTTCTAGGGCTAGTGCCTAGTAGGTTTTCTTCTCCTTACGAGGTTATCTATATTCTTTAGAGTAATATCTAAGTTTCCCGTAGTTAAAATACTTTCCTTTACTTTTCTATATTATATCTAGATCTATCCTACCTAGGTTAGTTATATAGGCGTAGGCAATAGGAGTTTCGCGCTTCTTTTTATAGTTAGCGCGTCGGTTAAAGTTATTCTTATAGGAAGGGTTTTAGTTTCCTCTTCCTTACTTCTTTTCTTAGCGTCGCGTATACTATCTATCGTCGATTCGTACTATTATAGTAATATAGTTTAAGAGGTTATTAGGTCGATTTTCCTTATAGAGCTCGTCCTTAACTTCTTCTTTAAGCCCGTCGTAGAATCGTAATATAAGAGGTTCGTCGTCCTAATTAAGCTTTAAGGTAACTTAACGGAACTTCGTAGTATAATCCGATACTAAGATTCTTTATCGGAGTTCTCGAAGTTTCTATTTAGCTTCTCGTTCCTCGTCGGTTATTCTAAATACTTTCGTAATAGCTTCTTCGAATCCTTAAAAACTAGCAAAGACTTCGTCTATCTTATTATCTCGTCGCGCTAGTTAGTTATCGAGAAAGTCCCTTATAATAGGTCTAAACTAGGCGAGTGCCGTTCTAGATAAATAATTTCCTACGTAGAGTACCTTTTCGACTAGGTCCGAGAGTTTAGTAGGGTAAAACCGGTAGTAGGCTTTAAGTTAGGTGAGAAAGTCTCGAAGCGTGCCGTGAGTACCGTCGAATAGTCCTAGCTATTTTAGTTTAACTACTTCTCCGAGGTCCCTAACTTATCCGTTGCCTCCTCCGTTCCTAAGTAACTATACCTTATATCGAAGGGCGATAATTTCGCGCATTATATCCTAAGGCGATATAGTAGCTCTAGAGTTAGTTAATCTAGCTTACTATGCAGGCATATTAATAGTTGCGATATTGCTTAGAGTAACGCGGTATTGCACTAAATAAGAGCTTTTAACGTATAACGACCGGTGTTATTCCTAAGGGATAAACCTATCGAGGGGTTTATATTAGTAGATATAATAGGGCGTAGTCTAAGCAATAATAAGTATATTACGTTAGTAATAAGTTAGAGGTCGTAGACCGTAGACTATAACTAGGTAATTAGAATTAGAGATAGAATCGTAATAAAGATCTATATTAAAAGCTAGAGAGCTATCTATCTAAAGAAGTAAAAGTAGGTGGCTATATATACCCGTAGAGACTGTCCTTAGATTATAGGCCTAGCTATAATCCCTAACGTTAGATCGCATAGAGCGTAGTAATCCTATTAATCCTAGATTACTTAGATCTCTGCGATCCCCTCGATCCTATATCTATTAGATAGTCGTGCCGACTATTTATCCGTTAAACCGTGTCACGTGCTTAACGCGGTCGACCGTTAGCGGCCTAGTGGCCGTGGTCGTAATATATCTATAGCACGATTAACGTCGACCTCCTTCGTCGCGCCGCTATAGACCCCTTACTAAGCTAAGAGATAGCGGATCCCTAACTAGCCGCTATCCTCGTTAAGGGGGAGGAGGAGTTCTCGGTAGAGGAGTTACGGGCAGCCCGTTAAAAGAACGTAGGCCGCGGTAGGAGGCGCGAAGTCCTCGTTAAGTAGCGCGGCTACTAAGACCTAACGTAGGAGCCGGCTTCCGAGTTCGAGGGCGCGGCAGCTCTAGATAGGTTCGAGGCCCTTTACGGGCTAGTAGAGGAAAGCGACGGCCTAGCGAGAGAAGCTACCCCCCTAGCGGCAAAGCAGCTAGCACCCTAAGACGCGGGGGAGACTACGCCCCGCCCCCGAGGAAGCGGCGGGGCACCGGGCCCGCGGCGGTCGCTACGCTAGCGTAAGCTACGGGCGTACGTTACGGATACCGCGACTACGGACAATAGGCGGGGCGCACTTAGGTCGGCGGCAGCATAAATAAATCGTATTAGCCCTTACGGGCGCGCTCGAGGGCGCATAGACTAGGCCCGGCGGGCCTTCTTCTTCGGCGGGGTCTCGACTACTAGACGGTCATCCTCGTCCTCCTCCTCGTCCTCCTCCTTAGTGTGAGGCGCGGCCCCGGCCTCGAGGGCGCGGATCCGGCCCTCTAGGCCACCTAGCTAAGCGGCGACGGCGGCGGCGTTAGGGACAGCGGCGGCGGCGGCGGCGGTGCCGGTGGTGGTAGAGGCGGCGGCGGCAGAGGTGGCGGGGGCGGCTAGGGCGGCGTCGACGGTGCCCCTAAGAGAGAGAGAGTTAGCGCCGTAGAGAGTGCGGGAAAGGGAGCTTACGCACTTAGGCACGAGGGCGGCGCGCTCGAGGAACCGTAAGTTGCGGTAGGCGGCGGCGGCGGCGGTTAAGGCGCGCTTGGTTTGTTCAGTCCCGCCGGCTCCGCGGCGCTCTAAGCTACGGCAGCACGGGCAAGGACGGGCGGCGCAACCTCATATACGCGGCCAGCCCGGGCGCATAGGAAGCAGCTGCCCTAAGGGCGGCCGGCCTAGTCGGCGTAGGGGAGGGACTGCGAGGCACACCGCACGTAGGGGGAATCGCGGGTGGCGCCCCGGGCCACGGCGCGCTTATGCTAGTGCGGGGAGTTAACAACACTCGCGAGAATAGGGGCGGAGGGGCTTACGGAGGAGGGCGGCGAGGACCCGCGCTTATTATTATCGTCGTTATCGTCGGCGTTATCGCGGCGGCCGGCAGCGGAGAGCGCAGCGGGGGCGGCGGCGGCGCGGGCAGCAAAGTTAACGGCCGAGAAGCCGGGCAGCGGGTGGCGCGGAGCGGCGGCAGGCGCGACTGGGGCGGCGGGGGCAGTAGGTGGGGTAGCGGGCGAGGCGAGGGCGCGATCGACGAAGTCGTCGATCTCGGCGGAGAAGTAGGACGAGGCGGGGGAGGACATATTAAATTGTTTAAATAACTAGCGGGGGTGCGGGTTAGCTCGTATACGGGCGGCAGCGCACGGCTAGGCGCTAGGAGACTTATAGTTATAGTTACGGCTGCTGCTGCTAATAATAATAATAATAGTATGGTTAAGAGGAAAGAGCGATAGGAGCGCGCTAGTAGGTTATTTACCTCCTAGCCGCGCGCCGAGGTGCGGGATTAACGTTATAAGGGACCGCCCGTAGAGAGAGGGGCGGGGACCTTATATAAGGGTATTTACCCTTAGTGTGGGTCTAGGCATTAGCCTAGACCTTAGCCGATAAGCGTTACGGGTTAGGGCAGGCCGTACGCATAAACGCGTATTTAGTAGTAGTAGGCGCGGCGTATAGTTAGATCCTATATAGCTTGTTATTATAATATAACGGAAGGCACCTACGGTATAACCCTTTGCCTACCCCGTAACACCTAGTTATAGTTTATAGTCTATAACCTCCGACTTATTACTAACGTAATATACTTATTATTACTTAGACCACGCCTTATTATATCTACTAATATAAACCCCTTAATAGGTTTATCCCTTAGGAATAACACTAGTTATTATAAGTTAAAGAAGGAAGAAAAAGAAAGGGAGAAAGAAAAAGAGATACTACTTTATATACCCTTAAGTAAAGGAGGCTGCTTAAGGCTAAGAGAATAGGTAACCTAAGGCTTATATATATCTAGGCTAGCTAGCTAATAAGTATAGGGCTAGGTACTAGCTACTTAAGTTAATAGGTATAAGGATAATAAGGCTAGTAGGACTAATATAATTAATAAAAAAGGGATAGGTAGGGCTAGTAGTATAAAGGGCCTAAGGCTTAATTATATAAAAGCCGTTAATAAGGTAGCGCTACGCTATACTAAAAGAAGGGTATTATATAAGAGTCTTTAACTATTATAAGTTATAAGCTTAAGCTATAGCCTAAGTTATATAGTTATATATAAAGGGCCGGATCTTATATATATATATATATAGGCTAGCTATATATAAAAGAGCTCTATATAGCTTATTAATATTATCTTATAGACGGTACCTATATATATACCTTTACTTACTCTATAATACTATAAGGGATATTAGAAAGGTACCTTTTATAGTAGCTAGAAAGTAAAAGAATTTTCTTCCTCCTAGGCTTATAACTCTTATAAAGAGAGAAATAAGAAGTATATATAAAATATATAAAGGTAAAATTAAAAGTAAGGGGTTAGATAGGTAGGGCAAAGATATTTAATTCTTATAGGGGTAGTAATTATAGTAAAGAAGTAATTATTATATTACCTTAATTATCCTTTATTCTTTTATTTAACGCCCTTTTTTATACCTATTTAATATCTTAATTAATAAAGAAGATCCTACTTAAAGAAGCTATTAATATCCTCTTAACTACTAAGCTTTTTTTTAGTTTCTCCCCTCTTTTCTAGCTATTACTAATATATCTATCTTATCTCTCGCTACCTTTATAAGAAGCTATTACTACTTTTATTTCCCTTACTCCCTTACCCTTCTTTCTATACTTCCTTTTAGCTCTTTCTTCTAAACCGGTTTTTTAGCTTCCTAGGTCCCTCTTACTAAGGGATATCTCCGAGAACTATAAAATTAAGCTATGCTTTATAATAATAATAGTTAAAGACTCTTATACTTAGGCCTTTATTTTTAAAGTAGGATTTAAAGAGCTTAGAAAAACTAGATTTCTTAAGTAAAAAAGAAGTATAAACTAAGACCTCTTTTATATACTTACTAGCTTAAAGCTATATTAGCTATACCTTTAAGGGGTAAGCTATAGCTAAGGAGGTATATTATAAAGTATAGCTTAATTTTATATTCTTAGAGATATCCCTAGGTATAAGGGATCTAAGAAGCTAAAAAACAATAGTAAAAGAAGAAGGAAGAAAGAGCTAAAAAGAGGTATAAAGATAAGGGTAAGGGAGAAAGAGAAAGTAATATTATAAAGTAAGTAAAGGTATATATATAGGTGCCGTCTATAGGATAATATTAATAAGCTATATAGAGCTCTTCTATATATAGCTAGTATATATATATATATATAGGATCCGGCCCTTTATATATAACTATATAGCTTAGGCTATAGCTTAAGTATATAACCTATAATAGTTAAAGACTCTTATAAGTAAAAGTAGTAATAGTATTTTATATAAGTAGTAAAAGATAATATAGATATACTAGTAATAGCTAGAATAAAGGGGAAAAACTAGTAAAAAGCTTAATAGTTAAGAGGTTATTAGTAGATTCTTTAAGTAGGATCTTCTTTATTAATTAGGATATTAAAGGGATATAAATAAGGGCGTTAGATAAAGAAAAGAAGGAGAATAAAGGTAATATAATAATTATTCCCTTACTATAGTTATTACCCTTATAAGAATTAAATAACTTTACCTTACCTATTTAACCCCTTATATTTAATTTTACCTTTATATATTTTATATATACTTCTTATATCTCTCTTTACGAGATAAGTATTTATAATAGCTTAATATACTTTATAAAAATAATAATACTTATTTTATTACTATATAAAGTCTTTAGTTTTACTATCTCTTAAATAAGTTACCTATATAATTACTTAAGCGCTAAAAAGCACTTAAAGTAAAGGGCTCGTAAGAGATACGTTAAGTATAGTAGATAGCAGAGCTAGATGCGGGTGTTAAAGCTATAGAGGAAGGTCTTCGGCTTATAAAAGAGAGGGCGGATAACGCCGAGGGGTCAAGGGTGCGGGCTAGCGAGACCGAGAGAACCGGCGCATAACGGCTCTGCAGTAGGTATAAACACCCCAGGCATAATTTCCGACTATGCCCAGGAAGTAAGGATTTTATTCATATAATTATTTAATTGATCATTGATTTGCAGTATGCTCTGCGGTGGTGAGAATTAGGAACAGTTGGATTTGGACAGGGGAGTGGCCCACTAGGTGGTGAAGTACGTTACTACGCTCAATGAATGTCTCCCTAAAACACTACTAAACAGTTACCGATAATAGTAGTCGACTTGGTTATCAAAGTCGGCCTCGTTGAGTACTTCCTTGTCAACATGTCTACCTCCTTTGCACAGCACGATCTCCGATAGAAGTTGGCGTGACTCGCGGTCTAGTGTTAGATAGCACTCCTTTGGGGCACCGATCTTCTTTAAAACTGTCGAGAGCTGGAACTTTGTCCTTGCGAGCTCGGGTTTGGGCGGACGAGGCAGAGTGCTGTATATATCGTGGCAAATGGTCAGGAGTTGTCTAGGCTGGAAATGAGCAAATACTGCCTCTGTAGATGATTAACCCACGGAAGACTCACTCTGCCCGGTGATGTTCTCCAATCCGTTGACACAGCCACCCGAGCCTATAGTAGCACACCAGGGTCTTCATATGCCGTTCGCCCATGGTGTAAATATGGAGTGCCAGACTCTCCGACATGAGCTTCGTGGCGTTTTCAAGGTCGTTTTGATCTGCCCGCACGATGCCCAGAGCCAGCAACGCCCATGCCGTCCTGGTAGACCGCATCAGTGAGAAGGATGTGGAGTCGCTCGACGTGTCGTGGCTTACAGTGAAAACTTCTTGCCCACTTGAGCTTCCCGTCCCTTCCAGAGCACCAGACATTGCTCGAAGCAGGACGCGGCTTTTTCCAGCTCTCCAACCACCCACCAGCATCTCCCGATGTTTAGGTAATTCAGCGCAAACCCGTGAATCTGCTCTGTTTTGTACTTGTCAGACCCACGCCGTATCTCCAGCGCCCTGGAATGCATGCCGATGGCGGCCTTGGGGTCTTCCAGAGCCAGGACGACACCCATGTTCATGAACCCGTTTGCTCGGTTCGGATGATGCTCGTCCATAAGACTCTGCTCAACGGCATTCTCACGGATGTTCATAGCCCGCGTTGCCAGCTCGACAAGGCTGACCTGGTGGTCCGTTTCGTTATGATAGTAGAGCTGAACGGTGTAGATGTCAGCCAGGAACTCGGCAGGCGCAACACGCCCCAGCTTTGTCAATCTCTCGTAGTCTTGGTGGATGCTTGAGATGAGCGCCTTGCTGAGATGGAATCGGCCACGTTCGCAGAGATACCTGTCGGACACCAAGTCAGCGCAGTCCACCAAGGTATCGGGTGAGAAGCAGGACTTGCCATGCGCATGAGTAAATGAGCTCGAGGAAGTCGAAAGACGGAGCGACGACACCACGATCCCTAAAGTCGAGATACCGGTGATGGAGAGAGAGGACGTGTGGCTGGAAGATCTCACACTCAGCCCAGTCCTCGACCATGTGATCTCGTGATAGTTTTTGCAACGGGAACGACTTCCTCAGGAGCCGGACGGCAGTCTCGAACGCCTTTTGAGGCGCCAAGTCGGATCGAAGTGCGGCGTCGCGCACCAGGCGATGTAAACTGATGCACCGTTCCTGGCTCGGACTGCCCGAATTGTGGTATATGAAGGATGGTTGGCTCAGCGTTAAGAGTATTTTGTGTTGCTTTACGGTACTCGAGAGGCATGACACTTGTCCATCCGTCGACAGGAGAAGTCGCTCTGGGATGGAGTCGGGGTCGAAAAAGGCTACAGTCGTTAGAATATCGCGCGCTTGGGAATCAAAGGAGCGTAGTTTCGTCATGTGGGACTCGATGGCTTTAGCTACGCTGGTCGTATACCATGGGCTATCGATGCACAAGTCCTGGAGTTCATCATCTGCGGGTTCAGACTCCAGCTGTTTGTAAAATTCGTCCAGAGTCAAGGGAGCAGACTCAATGAACGACATCATCTGGTCCATATAAAGGGGATAGTACCCAAATCGCTTTGCCAGATCGGCTGCCGACTTGTCGTCGATTTCTCCTTGGATTTTCTCCTGTAATCGCCACTTGACGAACACTGCGCCTTCATGGGGCGACAATTGCACGAGCCTGGAACTGCTGCAGCGAGAGGTTACCGCCGTCAGGCCGGGAATGGGATCTCGGCTGGTAATGAGCACCGAGCCACGGTGCAAGTCGGACCAGAGAGGGTTCAGGATGCGCGCGTCGTCAACGTTGTCCAATATAAGAAGCCAATTGGAGCCTAGCGGCCTTAGACACGACTTTCTCAAGCTTCAAAGGGGTTTCTTACTCAGGTCTGCGGTTTTGAGCCAAGTCATTGCTGTATTCACAATCTTCTCCTTGTCCTCGACGACGGTGTCGCTCGCCAAGCCCAAAGACCGTGCCAAGTTGCAGAGCCCCTGGTCAAGTTTGTCTTCGCTGTCGGAAGATATCCAGAATACGTGAGTGAATGTTTGCTTTTGTCGGTAGCCAAACTCGATGGCAAGATTGGTCTTGCCAATTCCTGGAAGCCCATGAAGTACAAAAACCCTGATTGACGACTCCGAGACGCGTCTTGTTCCCGGTCTCGTCTGGCATACCAGAACGTCCTGGATGTTCGAGAGGATTGCTTCTCTTCCCGTGAACCACCGATTTTTTGGGTACGGCACGCCGAAGAACTTGTCCGGAAGCGTGGCGAAACGGGGCTGGGCGTTAAATGCGTTGATGCTCTTGTCGATGGTCTGTAGGCTCTGGAGGAGCCCGTGGATATTTATCTGCGCTTGCGAAAGGGTCTGGCCAAGAGGACCGGCGTCTGTCCTGCCGACTGTTGCTCTGTCGTCTGACAGGCTCTTGTGGAGTTGGGTGTGGTGCAATAGCGTAGCTTGAACGGTTTCGTCGGTAAATGCCCGCTCGGCAGAGAAAGAAGAGTCAACATCTTGCGTCTTGGACCCAACAATTTGTTTCGAGAAAGCCGCGAGCGGCGAGGACATCTCGAGGTGCTCAGTAAGTCTGGCCTTGGGAATCGGTGCCTCCGGCTTGCTCACAAATGGCATTCGCCTCTCGTCTATTTCGCGTTGCGCCTGGGCCCATCGGTCCTCGTCCTCGAGCTTCCACCGGACCTCAATGACAGGCGGCGCCTCGGCAACCCAGTCTCGAATTGTTGTCGATATAGTGCGATAACCGGGCGTGTTCTCATTTTCAAACTTGCAAATGGTCGAGTGAGTGGCCTCGATGCCATAGTATATGACACCGGGCAGCTGAGGGCTTGCTGAAGTGGCATTCACTACCAAGGCCCTGCGACATGTGAGCTGTTGTCCACACAAAGAGTGGGCTCACTTGTTACCTTGTAAGCCCCAAGCTTGTCTTGCGATTCTCGTGGGCCATGAGTATCTTGAAGCGCTGATGGATATCGAGGAAGCGGTTGTTGATCTCCTGCAACTGCTCGCTATCTCGCTTGAGCGTCTTCAACAGAATAGGCTCCGATTCGAACAGCTTCCTGGGCACGACGACGTCGGACATGGCCTGCAGAACACGGCCCCAAGAGGCCAGGCCGGACCCCGTGTGCGGCGTTCCGAGGAAGATAGCGGCGTGCGTGGAGATGTAGATGGAGCGCAAGTCCTCGTGGGAGGTGGCAAGCACGTTACTAGAGTATAGCAGGGCGCGTTTTACTAGTATACCGCCTAAGCTATGTGCGACCCATATGATGGGGTTCCTGAAGGTGCCGTCGCTCTTGCGGTATACGCTGAGGTTTGTCACGAGCGTTTGGGCGTGCTGAAAGATAAAATTGTCGCTTGCGCTTCTGTCGTTGCTGCGCGAGTAGACGTCTGCATTATAACCATAGACGAGCACGTTGGCATGCTTGTCTCGGAGTGATTCGGGTAGGAGCTGGGTTGGCCAGAAGATGCCGCTCTTGGCCGTCCATGACTTCTTGGGGTCTCCGTTTAGGCCGTGGACGAGGACGATGTCAACTTGGGCCTCAGGGTGAGTGTAGACGCCGGTAATCTCGAACCGCGAGATTTCAACGTTGACGGAGCCCTATTTGCCGGGATTAGCAGAAGCTCCTTGCACGTAAGTAAAGGGATTCGACTCCAAGGAGCGCCGCGTACGAGGACTAGCAGCAACGTACCATGGCGAGAGCAACGGTTCGCGGATAGCTGTTATAAACGTAGGGTTTCCGTTATCCTCGATGCAATAAAGAGGCAGTTAAAGGGCGTTTAAAATATTTATTACCTATACTAATATAATACTAAGCTTATAAAAAAATACTATACTTAATTAAAAAGAATAATATTAATTAGTATTTTATTATTCTTAATAATAAATTTTAAAGTATACTTTTATTTATCTATTTTTAAATAGTCTTAATAAATTAAGATTATTATTTTTATAATACTAATAAGTAACTTAAGTATATATTTATAATACTTAGTTTAGTTTCTTTACTATTTTACCTTTTAAATAATAGTTTTAATTCTCGCGAAGAGAGATACGAGAAGTATATATAAAATACATAAAGGTAAAAGTAAAAGTAAGGGGTCGGATAGGCAAGGCAGAGATATTTAAATCTTACGGGGGCAGTAATTATAGTAAGGGAGTAATTATTATATTGCCTTAATTCTCCTTCTTTCCTCTATCTAACCCCCTCTTTATACCCGTCTAGTATCTTAATTAATAAAGAAGATCCTACTTAAAGAAGCTACTAATGTCCCTTTAACTACCGAGCTTTTTACCGGTTTTTCTCCTCCTTTCTAGCCGTTGCCGGCATATCCGTCTTATCTCTCGCTACCTCTATAGGAAGCTATCGCTACTTCTGCTTCCCCTTATGCCCCCACCCTCCTCTCTGCACCTCCTTTTAGCTCCTTCCTTAAAACCTGTTTTTTAGCTTCCTAGGTCCCTACGAAATCAGGCCACGCTTCGCGACACACCCCCTTAGCTATAGCCTGCCCCTTAAGGGCATAGCTAATACGGCTTCGGGCTGGTAAGCGTATAGAGGAGGTTCTTAGCTCTGCACTTCTCCCTTTACTCGAGGAAAGTAGGGGCCCTTTCGGGTCCCTAGGCTCTTTTAGACCTACTTAAGGAAAAGGGGCCTAAAGAGGGGAAAGTCCTATAAGAAAGGGGGCCTTCTTAGAAGGGAAAAACCTAATTAAAATAGGGGGCCCTTTAAAGGGAAAAACCTCTTTCTTTTCTTCGGCTATAGACGTTACCTTCTCGTACGTGCTATTAGCTCCTCTCGTAGACTCTTAAGGCGGGCCTCTAAGGATAGCTTTTCTCGAACGTCTTCTAGCCTTATTTGCTATAAAAAGACAGCTAGCTTCTGCTTTAGCAGGGGCTTTGTAAGACCGTTGGCTTTTATCGATACCGTTAGAACCTAACGGACGGAAATAAGTCCCCTTTAGACCTCTTAGCGTAACTAATGCTAGTAGATATCGATATACCGTAGCCGGGTCGATAGCTTACTGTTTTCCTCTATAAGAATTCGTATAGTCTATATATTATCGCATTCTATAGCTAACGGGGACGGAATTTATAGTCGTAACGATATTAGTAGCCGGCTAAGGAAAATCGCTTCTTTTAACGCTTCTAAAAGAGCTAGTAGCTCTGCCTCTATACTTAAAGTTATAACGGTGGCCTACTTCGAAGCTCTCTAAGCAATAGTTCCTCTAAAAAGGGATATAATATACCCCTATAAGCTCTTTCTATCTAAGGAATTATCTATAAAGGACGAATCGCTCGAATAGAGGAAGATTTCGGTAGCTAATTTCTTCCTTTCCTGCCCTCCTAGGCGCAGACTATATAATCTCGTTAAATAGAGATAAAGGATAGCTCTATCTGCTGCTTCTTAATGCCTAGGGCTAGGATTCTAGTTATACCTAGCTAGCCGGGAGACCGTAAAAGAGATATCCGGTCTAGTAGAAATAGCTAAAAAAAGCAAGGAGCCTACCTTCTATTAATATTAGTGTTTCTCTTGCTCCCTAGCTTAAAAGGACGGATTAGGCAAAAGCTCTTCGTCTAATATAGGCGTAGAGGGAAGCTTCTTATCGAGGGTATTAGGGAGGAATTTATAAGCGACCTTATCGATATAGGCGTCCTAGGTAAGCTAGATAGTCCGTTAGGACCTATTCCGAAGGATTTATATCCCTAGGAACTACTTTAGCTCCCCTAGCCTAGTTATCTTATACCTTTATTGCAGGCCTCGTATAGCCTCCCTAGTAGCAGCTTCTTCCTCTTTTAGGTAGGCCTAGATAATATTATCGACGTAGAAGAAGACCGTGATTTTACCCTTCTATATTATATACGGTTCCTAAGGGACTTTCTTAAAGCCTAGGGCTTCGCCGTAGAACCTTTCCTAGCTATTAGAAGCCTAGTAGAAGGCGCATATAGATAACTTCTTCTTCCTTAAGTAGGCAGTTAATAAAGGCGTTAACTATATCTATCTAATCGAGTTCGAGGTCGAATTCTGCTGCTATAGCTATAAGGGTCCGAAAAGACATCCTAGCTAGGGTAGTTGCCCTAGTAGGAAGATCCCCTTTTTCCTGCTAGTTCCCGCATATAACTAGCCGGGCTTTATACTTTTAAAGGAAGCCGTGTTTTTAGTCTTATAGATAAAGACCTACTTATAGCTAAGGACCTATTTTCCTCTTGCTTTTTCCTTAAGGACCTCTTTAAAAGACCCTATCTCTTTATATAAGGCTAGGTGGTCTTTCTAGGCCTAGAAAAACTAGTCTCTAAAGGGGTGTTTTTCTAGCTGCTTCTAGTTTGCTAGTAGGTCCGGGAGGTCTCTTTTATATACCTTCCTTGCTAATAGCTATAGCTTAAAGAGCCGGCCTGCTATAAACGCTCCGTAGGAACCGTCTTCTATTAGCTTTAGGTAGAAGTCGGAAAAACGATCGAAATAAAGGAGAAACTAGTCTTCTTTCGTATCGGGCCCTATACCTTCCTTTGCTTCTCGAAGTAGGGACAAAAAGGCAGCCGGGTAATCCTTTAAGAGAGGTGCCTTTCCTACCCCCTTAGGGGTCGAGACGGGAAGACTAACTAAAAAAGCTGCTTCTAGATCTTCTTCTTATTCCGTAAGAGGAGGCGTAGGGAGGTAGGCGTATTCTAGCTCTACTGCTTTCCTATAGTCTCCTTCTTCGTCTAGATCATCTAATCTAGCAGCTTCCTCTTCGAAGTCGGCGTTATCCTCGACTACTTCGACGTCGGTTTCTTCTTCCGTTTCCTCGTCTAGGACCTCTTCTTAAGACTATTAGGAAGGGGGGATTTAAATCTTCTAAATTAGCTAACGTTAAGAGAGTAAGAGGGGCTATTAATCCCTCTTTCCGTCGAAGAAGCTAGATTCATCGAAAATTATATCCCTAGTCGAAATAACCTTCTATAGAAGAGGAATCTAGATCTAGAAGATATTCGTAGAATTATAACTAACGAGGTAACTAATAAAGGCTCTAGGATTAAGCTTTCTTTTCTTCTTCCTTTTTAGCTATATATCGGCAGTTATAGCGTATGCCTTATAGCCGCAGGCACGAAGGTAGGCTAGCGAGGCCCTCTTCTTCGTAAAGAGCTTAAGGGGGGATATCTAGTCTATTCCTTAGGTCCTTAGGGTCCGGTTCCAAAGGTAATAGGCGGTCTTAACGACTTCCCTCTAAAGGTCGTAGGGAAGCCTCGCAGCAAGTCTTATCGTATAGGCCCTTTCTATTATAGCACCCCCTAATCTTTCTGCCCCTCCGTTCTAGGCCTAGGTATTTAGTGCTAACGGGAGGGGTAAAATGCCCCTTTTTCGAAGCTAATTTAAGATATCCTTCGTAAATAGCTCTCCGTTAGACCGTATCTTCTTTACCTCGTAGCCGAAGTAGGATTTTATCTAGTTAACGAAGTCCCAGAGGGCAAACTAGTTATGCTTGCTTAGGTAGGTCCGTAAGAAATAGGGGAAAACCATCCCTAAAAAAGCGTCTATAAAAAACATTACCCTAACGAAGCTTTCCTAATCCCTAGAGACGTTGGTCTAGTCGACCTAAATTTCCTTACACGGCTGGTCCGGCCGTAAAGGCGTTCGTCTAGAAATTCGTCTCCTAGTCTTTCCTTAGCCGTAGTATTCGCATTCGACGGTCTTTAGGCCCCTTATTCGTACGCCCTATTATTGGCCTAGCTTATGCAAAGCTAGGGGGCCCGGGTAACTAAGTCGTGCGTGCTAAAGAATGCCGTCTCCTTAGGCTGCTAGAAGAGGGTCTTTTATAGTAGACCTATTCCTCCTAGTAGGGAAAGCTAACTTCTTAAGTATTTCCTTCCTATAAATAGGTTAGAATTCGAGAATAAATTAACCGAATTTCTCCTCGATAAGCCTAATAGTCTAATTCTTCTAGACTAGCCTCGTAGGCTTAGACGTTATATCCTAGAAGATTCCTTCCTCTCGAAGAAGGCGGAAGGAAATTAGGCTCGTTAAAAATCAAGGGCAAAAAGCTACCCTTTTTCTTCGAAGAATTCGTATAGATCCGTTAGGTAATTTTATCGTGAAATTCACCCTTCCGTATCCTTCTATCCGTACGGTTAATTCCCCGGTAATAAGATATTCCCTTTGTGCCTTCTTAAAGGACCGGAATCGTAAGAGTATATTATAGATATCGAGGGAAGCACTAAAGTTAAGGATAGCTGATTTTCGTAGGGGATAGTCGGAGGGTCCTAACGGTTGGTCTTGCTAATCCGTAAGGAAGATAAATACCGGATTTGCTATACTAACGATTTTTCCTCGAATTTACGGCTCGAATAAGGGCAGCGGCGTTAGTTGCTATTTCTTAGCAACCCGAATCTCGTCTATTTTCTTCTATAACGAGGGGTCCTCCTTAAGAGACTATTATACTATTTCTCGTAGCCTCTTTAAAAGGTTAATTCCTTTAGGTCGGTTTTCCTCGAAGACCTACTAGTAGTCTTCTAGCTAATAGGGCTTTTTACACGCTTAGTAGGTAGGTCGATTCCTCCTCGTACGTTATTTCTTCGAGGAATCCTCGTCCCGGTCTAGAAGGTCTGCTTAAAAACCCCCCCTTTTTACCCCTTATTACTAATTTTAACGAAGAGGTTCGATTTCGACTAGTTCCCTGATTTTTCGACTAACGGACTAAAAGGTCTATTAAGGGACTAGTCGGGCCGGTCTAACTAACGGGACCGGGGCCGGGCCCGGAGCAAGATGCGGAGCCGGGGCCGGGCCTAGGGCCGCAGCTATAGTTAACGACGGCGTTAAGGCTCTCAAGGGAGGAGGAGCCGGAGGGGCAACAGCCGCAGCAGCAGCAGCGGGAACCGCAGCAATAGGGGCTGCAGCAGCTACAGGGGCAGCAGGTCGAGCCGTCTAGGTCGAGAGCTGGCCACGAAGGAATAAGACTGCTTGCTATTATACTCTAGTAGCCTCTTCGTCTAGTTCCCGGCTAGCTTCTCGAAAGATAGTCGAGTAACCGTTACTAATAGGCTTTATTAGCAGAGATATATCCCGTAGCTACTAGCCGGAAAGAGCTTCTATAAGGAAGTATTAGTTAGCTTCCTCGAGGATCTCTTCCTACTTAGCTAGCCACGAAGAAGCTAGCAGGTTCCTAGCAGAAAAGGCTCCTAGGTATACCGTATAGGTCTTCCTAATACGGTTAGTTATATACCCTCTCGAGGGAGCTATCGAGGTCTCGAGCTTTAAAAGCTACTGCCTAGGAGTCTCTTCTTCTCGAAGAGAGATTAGCTTTACGGCACTAACGGATTCCGTTATCGCCGTACGAGCAGCCGTTAGTAGCTTCGTTTCATAGAGGTATTCCTTCCGGTGACTCTCGTAGTCGCCTAAGGTAGCAGAAAAAGCTCTCTATTATACAGAGGTTAGCTCGGAGAAGAGGGTAGCTCCCTCTATAAAGTCCGTCGCCCTAGGACGAAGAGGGGGCTTAAGAGGGTCCTGCTTATTAAAGAAGACTAAATTATAGATAGTTCTATCTATACGAGCCCGTAGCTCCTTTACCTATTTATCCTAATCTTAGGGCTCTATAAGAATCGTCCTATAGACCGTAGGGACGGTAAAGGAGTCGGTTTTCGTTATCGTTACGGGGAAAGGTAGAAAAGTCGGTTAAAAATCGGCTTTTCTAGTAAGAGGGGTAAAAGGAAGCTACGAGGGATATAAGTAAGGTGCCTTTTATAGTAGCCGGAAGGTATAAGAATACTATTCCTCCCGGGCTTATAACTCTCGCGAAGAGAGATATAAGAAGTATATATAAAATATATAAAGGTAAAAGTAGAAGTAAGGGGTTAGATAGGCAAGGTAGAGATATTTAAATCTTACGGGGGTAGTAATTATAGTAGGGGAGTGATTATTATATTGCCTTAATTCTCCTTCTTTCCTCTATCTAACCCCCTCTTTATACCCGTCTAGTATCTTAATTAATAAAGAAGATCCTACTTAAAGAAGCTACTAATATCCCTTTAACTACCGAGCTTTTTACCGGTTTTTCTCCTCCTTTCTAGCCGTTGCCGGCATATCCGTCTTATCTCTCGCTACCTCTATAGGAAGCTATCGCTACTTCTGCTTCCCCTTATGCCCCCACCCTCCTCTCTGCACCTCCTTTTAGCTCCTTCCTTAAAACCTATTTTTTAGCTTCCTAGGTCCCTCGTGCTAAGGGATATCTCCGAGAACTGCGAAATCAGGCCACGCTTCGCGACATTAATAAAGTAGTATATAAAAAGTAGTTATAAAACTATAAAATATAAGTTCTTATAAAATAGTTATTAATATATATACTATTAAGCTTTAACTTCTAATATATAACTATTAGAAAACTTATTTTATATATATTTCTAACTACCTTTCTATTATATATCTTTTTTATACCTATTAACTATATCATACTTTGGCCTAGCCGTCGAGACATTTATACTTGCCGGGTCCCCTCGTTTTAGGTCTTAACTACTCAGCGCTACTATTCGAAGGATTCTCCGACATGGAGGCTGGTCAAGAGGAAGCAACCGAGTCGCCCCGGAAGGCCAATACACGCGGCCTGGCCCTGCCCCTTTTCACTGATCTCAGTACAAAGTGGGAACTCGACGACTTGGGCCCGCTCATGTATAACGCCAGCATTTTTTACATGAAGCCAAGCCCCCATTATGATAATGAGAAGCCTTACTTCTTCAACATCCCTATCGACGATGCATGGCTCCCTAAAGTCAAGCAGACCAACGTCAGTTATACGCGGAAGACCGTCGCTATAGCGGATGTTCGTGGCCATCAGGAACTATTCTCGTTGGACAAGCATGGATTCCAGCTGGAAACCCTTCATACGTCGCTCTCATACCATGCCTTTGCATCGACTGATGCCGTTGTCACCCGATACTACGAAGAGGTAAAGGAATTCCTGAAACAATGCACCGGAGCGGTGGATGTGCTCCCGTTCGACTTCCAGGTATGAGAGTTATCCTTGCCCGCTGATCCGGCCACTCGACTGATCTTCAGCTTAGGTCCGTCGCAAAGACCCTACCCTCCCTGTCGGATCCAGAGGTTCTCCCGGAAATGCTCAACCATTTGCCGCGATTCATGGTGGTAAGGCCACGGTCACCTTGGGTCGCGATGGGCCATTCGTCTTGACAAATGAACAGACCAGACAAGCAGCGCTGCCTTCAGACGTTTGAAGCACTTTCATCCCGAATTTGCCAATAAATATGCCGACGCTCGGTTCCAGATAGTCAAGTAGGTCAATTTGAGAACTGTGGTTTGGCTACCTTGGCCGGGCTAAACTGAGACCAGCGTTTGGAAGCCATTGCGAGGCCCGGTCTGCGACTCTCCTCTGGCTGTCTGCGACTACCGAACCGTCAACGACGACGACCGAGTTCCAACAGACATAATTTTTCCCGACTATCTGGGTGAAACATACAACTTCTGGCCCAGTCCTCATCATCGTCTCTACTTTATCGACGAGCAACGAGACTCCGAGGCATGGATTATCAAATGCTTCGATTCAGAAACAGCGAAAGACTCAGATATTGCACAGTGTACGGAGCTCTTTGGGAACAGTCAATGGCGACGTGAACTTCATTGTGGCTAACGTGTTGCAGTTGCACCCCATGTTTCATTCCCCTACGGACGGCTGGAAGATAACGCGCCCCGAAGAGAGAGCGTGGAAGTGAGGACATTCGTGTTCTATTAGGGCCGCTTCTGACGACGGGTAAAACATACAGAGTCGAATGGGAATTCAGCAGATGCACAGCCACGTTGCACGTGGCTGTTGTATTATTCGTGTCCAACAGCATCGTACCACATTTCGCAAACAGCAAACGCAATATTGTACGCAACCAAGTAAGGACACACCATTGGAGGAGCAAGATGCATGCAGCCCCCCTTTCCCAAAAAGGGCCTCCACGCGGGTTGACGATACACCGATTGAAAAATGATCCGTCATCTTTCTCGACACGGCCTGACGTTGGTTATGACGGATGCAGCACATGATACTTCCTCGAAAACACTGTTATGGTGCCCTACATACATATATGGGGGCATTTGCTGCAGCATCCTCTAATCCAAGCAGCCTTCATTTTGTCAACACCGGACTCATCTCCTTCTGTTTCCCCCTTCTTTTCAAGCTGTTGACAGGGCTGCGGCCTCATTAATCATCATGACCAACCCATACGGCCTGTCTGCGGATGTGGATAGCCAGTCCCTGGCTTGGGACACTCTGGGTCGTCCCGAAAGGGGATCAAGTCATCAGCCGTGGCGGCAATTCTGGCCCCCTACCAACCTAGCCAGTCTTACACCTCAAGAGTTGAAGGCTAAGCCGTGGTTGACCTGGAGGAGAGACCCAAGCCGCCCCAACGAAAAGCCATGGTATTACTGGTGTAACGTGTTTCAGGGCGAGGTGGACATCCCATGCCAGCGGACCGAATGCCAGCATTGTGGTGGAAGTGGATGTGTACGTTGCCTTTCCTACCCCTCCTGCCAGACCAAGGCCCATCTTATATTGACGCCACGCAGTCAGTCTGCACCACGGTTGCAGAGGGCGGTTGAGATGCTGAGATGCCCTTTGGTTTTTAGTGGAATAGTTCGGATAGTCTAGCGGAGAAAGTTTTCATGCATCGTCCTCCTTCCGAATGGCAGCATTTTTGATTCTAAAAGAGGAACGTGTGAATGTCCGAAGTCCTTCTTTTCGGGCTGCTAGCTACTTGGGTGGGTTGTTGTCGGATTAATATCATAATCATTTTAGCTAATTATTTCAAAGACCCCCTTGATGGAGCTTTTGCAGACCGCCAATTTTCCCATCTAACAGTTGAATCTAGTAAAGCCGAATTGTTAAGAAAATTACTCTGCACAGAGTACAAGAGGTTGTTACACCACATTGCTACGAGCTGCATCAGGGGCTTTACCGTTACACTATTTGTGAATAGTTTTATTGAAGAGGGGAAGAAGCCAGCCGTGCTTAGGCGTCGAGGCGAGTCCGGCTTCCCGAGCGCTCCCCGACCGGCTGCGTACAACATACATGTAGAGGCCAAGGACGCGGGGAAATGGAAAGCTCCTATTTGCCGCCAGCCAGAGTTTGTCAGTTCCCTCATGCATCAAGCACGTATAACTAATTATCGCTCCCGCCCGTATGTTGTGACACGTGGCCGCTGAGGTAGGCTGCTTACTCGGGCACATAAGACGTGGCGGGCAGGCAGGGAAGACGTAGCCGCTTGCACGGCGGGCTGCTGATATTTGACTGTCACAACGCCGGTCTCTAGTCACGAACAAGGATGCTAGCGAATAAGGACGCCCCGCGATTGAGGGTACATCAATATACTAGTAAACATCATTATAGAAGTCCCAGCAGGTTGGGCCTATACAAATAGCTACGAGGCTGTCGCAGCTGCTTATTGCAGACGTGGTACGTATCTAGGTACGTTGTAGCAGCGTATTATGGGGCCCGTGACTAGAGACCGGCGTTATGACAGCCAAAGGGACAAGATATAATTAATACAGGTAAGACGTGGCTGCTGCTTGTTGTTCTGAGTGGGCAAAAGGTTTAACGAACTAAAAATACAGAAAATTCGACGCTAGTTCTAATTAAGGCCGGGTTTTTTTTAACGGGAAGGTAAGTTATTACTTAAGCGCGTTAGTTATTAGACCCTAACTATACAGAGTATAGTAATTCTATTTAGCTAAGTAGTAATTACTATATATATAGATAGCTAGTATTTAACTAGTTATATTATCCTCTAATAAAATTAAAGGCACTTCTATTAAAGATAACTAGCTAGTATTATAGTATATATTTCTCGCTAGCTACTATATATAGTCCTTTACGTAATCTCGTAGTAAATAAAGTACCATATAACTAATCATTGCTCCCGCGACATTCAGCCGCTGTTGCACAAGCAATGGGAACTTGCACATACATGCATGCCCGGTCTGGGAGCGTGCATAAGCCACATTCATAATAATGTCAGCTTGCCAAGCCCGGCCGGCAATCGCTCACAAAGCAGTTGGCTGTGCTCGAGTGACGGACCGTGCCGTGCCACGTCCGTTTTCTGGTGACTGGCAAGCTTTTTTCGCGGTTTCTCGCCATCTCTGGAGGGGGTAGAGCCTGTTTGCCCTCAGCTCCAACAAGCAGGCCAGACATGGTGCCCCTACCCGTGTGCTGTGCAGCACTCTTGGCCATGAACCACGCACTTGCAATGGGTGCCAATATGGTGTCCACGGTAGTCCGTCTCGGGGACATCGCATACTACATGCACCCACTACCCTCCGTGAGGCGGCATACCTCCTCCACTCGTGTGGCTTGCTGACGGTCGATAGGGGCTTGATTCGCCTACATTGGACAAGGACCAGATAGCTGAGCCATGCACCGTTCTCACCATCGGCCGCCAGTTGCTCGGCGTGAAGGAGCTCCAGGCCACGATTCACGACTTCAAGGCCAGGGATGACGTCTGGTCGCCGGACTTTCTTGGAACCATCGTCGTCCAGATCACCGAATCCCAAGGCGCCCTCGGCAAGGACGACGAGAATGCGCTTCGTAGTCTTGGGGCAAGCAGCCTAAACTCTTTCCACAGCAGCGCGGGTAAAGCCCAGCTTGCCCAAGGTCCTTATTTCCTGCATCATGGTCGCCTCCACCAGGCGTATCGGTTATACCCTGATACTGCGGGTGCCTTCATGGTTTCAACGGTCCCAGCCGGCGACAACGGGTGAGTTGCGAGCTCAATGTCCGGCTCATCAGAGGGGCAGCAAGTAACAGTTTCTCGAGATTTCGATCTCTCGACGCTTCTGCCTATGGCGAACAGTTCCCATCCGCCCTGACCGTTGCCGTGCCATCGCGCCTATACTTGGCCAAGACGAAAGAGAAGCCCTATGCAGGACTGCGTGTAGCTGTCAAGGACATCATCGACTTGAAGGGGCTCAAAACGGGCGCGTCTTCTCGTGCATACACAGAGCTGTATCCTGCCAAGAAGGCCAACGCAGCGACGGTTCAGCGCCTGATTGACTTGGGCTTCGTCGTCGTCGGAAAGCTCAAGACGACGCAATTTGCCGACTCGGAATGGCCAACTTGTGACTGGGTCGACTACCATGGACCTTTCAATCCGCGCGGCGATGGCTATCTTACGCCCAGCGGAAGCAGTGCCGGCAGTGCCTCCGCGGTTTCCTCGTACGCATGGCTTGACTTTGCCCTTGGCACGGACAGTAAGCTGCCTCGTCTCAAGCTGAAGCTGCCGGCTAACCTTCCTCGGAGCCTTGGGGAGCATTAGGTCGCCAGCGGCTGCTCAGGCAATTTTCGGGATGCGGCCCACGCTTGGGGCTGCGAGTACGATGGGGCTAGTCCCATACAGCTCGTAAAGAGTCCTTGTTCGACTTGTCGGTACATATGATAGTATGCTGATGCACCCGTACAGGAACTGGGACACCATCGGTGGTTTCGCCCGCACAGCAGCCGAGTACAAGACGCTCGCACAAGCCCTTTATGGGTCGACGGACACGGCCGGCAAGGTTTACAAGGGATGCCATGCATATCTTCCATGCAGCTCTTTGCCGTAACTAACTTGGCTGTCCGAAGCAGAAACCCACCAAGCTGATTTACCCGACCGACTACTGGCCAGTTGCCGATGAAGCAAGCCAGCGCGTATTCGAGGCGTTCATCACCCGTGTGGAAGGCTTCTTGGGCGTGAAACGCACCAACATCAGCCTTGCCGACACTTGGAAGAAAACTCGCCCGAAAGGCACTCATGAGTCCATCGGCAAGCACTTCCACCACGCCTTTGATTGGTCCGCCAATCGAGACCAGTGGACAGGGCTCCTACAGCCCTTTATAAAGGAGTACACGAAGACGATGGGCAAGCCTCCGATTCTCAACCCGCAGGTTCGGTTCAAAGTGTGAGTCTGGCCGTGTCACATCAAGTAGATGACGTCTACTAACGCTTGCCCAGCGGCTACACGCCCACTGTAACAGCAGAGCAGAAAGCCCAAGGCGAGATGCTCATCAAGACGTACCATGACTGGTTCTATCAACACATCATGCCGCCGGCCGAAGATGGTTACTCCAGCACCATCATTGTTCTGCCCTGGACCAGTGGCGAGCCAGACTACCGAGACAAGTACAAGGACAGGCCACAGCAGTTTACGGGTCAGGGCTTCTTCTTCTACAACGTGGGTCCCTATGCCCAATGTCCGGAGCTCATTTTCCCTGGTAGGTCTACTCTCACTTGGGGACGGATAGGGAGCCATGTCGGCTGTCATGATATGCTCCCTTGCTCATCTTGGTGTGTTGCCTTGTCTTATGTGCACGTCAATTAATTCTATATGCATAGTCGGCACCACGCCGTATACCTCCAAGTTCACGGGCGTGGTGGAACAGCTTCCGGCGGCTATGGGTCTCATAGCCGCTGAAGGCAGCGATATCATGCTAGCCGACCTGGTAAGCAAAATCTTCCAAGTTACAGCCGAATTGGAGTCAGATGAGGGTTCAGCTCTTATGGACGAACTGTGATGAGTCGTCCAGGGCATGAAAAGGGAAGTTGGAGGCGGACGTATACCAATCGTATTTGGTATGTGTGCAATGCTATATATTACTGCTTGTAAATGCCCTTCCTGCTTAGGCTTAGATATCTGGGGCAACTTTATAGTTCAGGCGTGTCACGGGCTGTGCCCGGCTGGTGGACCCGGTTGTACCGGGTCCGGTGGGTCGTGCTCCGGTGGCAACACCGGCCCCGCTCCGCGGACCCAGAAGCTGCGAGAACATTCCGAGAAGGGCAATATAAGCTCGCACTCGAGGCTACGCCTCGAGTTCAGCTTCTTTCCTCCTTAGCTCTAGATAGACAACACCTAGGCACCTGCTTGTTGAATAAACTCCGGGCCAGCCTTTCACATATCTAGAGCTCCTTCTAAATACCGCAAGCTGCAGACTGCTCGTCAGGATGGACCAGCAGAGTGAGAGCCCAAGTCTCCAGCAGCAATGGATTGACCAACGCATTCAAGAAGCGGTCAATGCGACTCTCAGCCCTCTACAGGACCAACTTTCCTTGCTGATGGAGCAACTCGGGCGAGCGCAGCCGCAGAGCGCCGACTTGCAATCGCCGCCAGTGGCACGAGGATTGGGCGAGCACGCCTGGCTTGGGCACGCCCTCCCAAAACCTGCGGTACTGGAATGCGGAAACCGTTGCCCAACCCACCCAAGTATGACGGCTCACGGAAGAGCTACTCCGCCTGGGCCAGGCAGATGCGAGACAAGCTGGACCTTGATGCACACTACTACAGTGGAAATCGCGAACTTTGGTACCTCATCAACTCATGTTTGGACGAGCGACCACAGCAAGTGGTCGCTACCTTTACGCCGCGGAGGCCCTGGGGTAGCTACGACCCCAAGAGTTCATGCGATACCTCGACCGAACCTACCAGGACAGCAACATCCAATCCCGCGCTGCTGCCACGCTGAGAACTATGCGGCAGCGCGAAGACCAACCTCTCGCGTCCTTCCTTCCCCGATTCGAACAGGCATTAGCTGAAGCCGGGGGAGCAGACTGGCCGGACAGTGCAAAGATCGTATTTCTAGAGAACGCAATAAATGCACGCCTCCAAGAGAGTTTGGTCACAGCCGTCCTACCCGACGACTACCAGGGATGGCTTGCGAGAGTTCAGGAAATTGCGGGCAGATTGAGAGACTGAAACCCGGTAGGCAGCCGACGTCGACTGAGCGGACGCCTCAACAGCTACCAAGGCAACGACCCAAGGAGGAACCGGAGGACCCCGACGGAGATGTTAAGATGACGGACATCAACCGTATTGGCCACGAGTCGAAGGGTCGTCGACATGTCGATAAGAAGCCGAAGGATGAGCGCCGCTGCTATCGCTGTGGTCGGACGGATCATCTTATCGTGGACTGCCCAGCCCAGGTGGTCTTTCCTGGCGAAGGAAGCAACAGCGACCTAAAGCTGCGCGCATGAAGAAGCCCGATGCCGCAGATGATTCGGAATCAACCGCAGCATCCAGTGAGGACGAGTCGGCGGGAAAAGACTAGCCCCGGGCGAAAGCGGGCGCCGGGGCCTGCAAAGGCAGACATCCGGGACTGGGAAGCGTTCAAGCCACGAATGAATAGTCGGACTGTATTAGTCAACGCGCGGGTAAACCGAGGCTATCGAATACGCGCCCTTGTCGACTGTGGATGTGACTGCTATGCCGTGATCGACGAAGCCCTTGTTCGGAAGCTGCGGATACCCTTCGTCGACTCGAAACCACGAGAAATTGGGGGATTCTCAGAGTCAGCGAAGAGTGTCATATCCCCAGGGGTCGTGGCTGTTGTGGTCGAGACAGCTGGATTTGACGAACGTGTCTTTGCATACGTGATCCCAAGCCTGGGCCAGGACATGTTCCTCGGCCGGCCTTGGATGGAGAGAAATCACGTCGTGTACGATGCTGCCAAGCAGCGAATGTACCATGGGAGGGCAGGTGTGACGATACGCCTCATTGGGCAGGAAGAGCCCGCCAAGATACGCGCGATTCGAAGCGCAAGACTCGTGTCGGCAGCCGTATTCACGGCGGAGTGTCGACGCGCAAAGAGACGCAAGAAGTGCAACGCGATCTCGATTCATGCAATCAGTTTGTCGGATATAGAGAGGGCGCTTCAGCCGAAGCCGCCAGTCGATCCGAGCGAGAAGGTCCCGGCAGAAGTGCTGAAAGAATTCCGCGACCTATTCTCACCAGGAGAGGCAATGAAGCTGCCGCCACATCGACCGGGTGTGGATCATGAAGTCAACCTGCAGCCTGACAAGAACGGCAACGAGCCACCCCTTCCGTGGGGCCCACTCTACAACATGTCACGAGAAGAGCTGTTGGTCTTGCGAAAGACCCTGAAAGACCTGCTGGACAGAGGATTCATCCGAGCGAGTAGCTCAGCGGCTGCCGCGCCGGTGCTGTTCGTGCGGAAGCCGAATGGAGGGCTGCGATTTTGTTGCGACTACCGAGCGCTGAATGCAATCACCAAGCGCGACCGATACCCACTGCCCTCATCGCGGAGACCCTGCAGAATCTGGCCAAGGCTAAGTGGTTCACCAAGTTGGACGTGGTGGCCGCTTTCCATAAGATCCGCATGGCTCCGGGACATGAGGGAAAGACTGCATTTCGCACGAGGTTTGGGCTCTACGAGTGGCTCGTGTGCCCTTTCGGCCTGAGCGGCGCCCCGGCATCATTCCAACGATACATGAACAGTGTATTGCGCGAATGGCTGGACGACTTTGTCACAGCGTACCTGGATGATGTACTGATCTACTCGAGCGGTTCGAAGGCGGATCATGAGGCTAAGGTGCGACGAGTTCTCCAAGCACTCGCCGACGCTGGGCTGCACCTAGACCCAGCGAAGTGCGAGTTTTCGGTACAAGAGGTCAAATACCTTGGGTTCATCGTCAACGCAGGGAAAGGAATCGCCTGCGACCCCGAAAAGCAGCGCGCCATCCGCGAATGGGAGGCCCCGACCACGGTGAAGGGTGTCAGAAGCTTTCTGGGCTTCGCCAACTATTACCGGATCTTCATCCCCGACTATGCCAAGATCACGCAGTCTCTGGATGCCCTGCTTAAGAAAGGAACTGCCTTTCATTGGGGACGAGCGGAGAACGAGGCGTTTCAGGAGCTGAAGCGACGATTTTGCGAGTCACCGGTGCTCAAGCAGTGGGACCCGAGCCTCCCGACCTTTTTGGAGACGGATTGCTCAGGCTACGCATTGGGAGGCGTCCTGTCGCAGGAAGGCCCAGATGGACGTCGACACGCATGCGCCTTCTTCTCGAAGCGACTTTCGCCAGCGGAGTACAACTATCCCATTCACGACAAGGAGATGCTTGCCATCATGAGATGTCTCGACAACTGGAACGCCGAACTTAGGAGCTGCGGCCCATTTACAATCCTTACCGATCACCGCAACCTGGAGTATTTCATGACACGCCAGAAGCTCACGGAACGGCAGAGCCGTTGGGCAGCCGAATTGTCCCAGTTCGACTTCAAGCTCGAGTATCGACCGGGAAGCGAGGCTGTCGTGCCTGATGCGTTGTCCCGCCGTGAACAAGACAAGCCACAGGGCATTGACGACGAGCGGGAACAAGGAAGAATGATACAGTTGATACCGGATAGTGCCATTCCATCATCGACAAGAGCATGTATCAACGCGATGAGTTCTGACTGTTCAGAGGCATCCACCCTGCCGAAGATGAAGGTCTTCGAGGTAGCGGACCTGCAGCAACTCTGGGACGAAACGGTGGCGAAGGACTCGATATTCCGGGCAGCCTATAAGGCAGTCCGCGATCGCGAGCGTGCCTTCCCGCCCTCGCTGGGCCTGAAGATCCAGATTTCAGAATGTGCGATCGACGCAGGCAAAAGGCTGACATTCAGAGACCGTATTTGGGTGCCGGGTGGATCCGGAGAGGAGGGTAACCAGGAGGAAGCTGAGAGAGACCAGTTGAGAACCCGCATTGTGCAGCAGTCGCATGACTCTGTTGCGACCGGTCATCCCGGCAGGGAAGGTACGCTGGCTATTGTGGCTCGGCGATTCTACTGGCCTGGGCAGTCCCAGCTGGTTCGCCGGTACGTAGCCAATTGCGACACCTGCGGCAGAGCACACATCTGGCGCCAGTCGAAAAGGGGATTTCTCAAGCCTCTGCCGATTCCAGATCGACCCCGAAGCCATTTGTCCATGGACTTCATCACAGATCTGCCGCCTACTGGACCGAGCAAGGCAAGGTACCTGTGGGTGATTGTGGACAGACTGACAAAGGCTGTGACCCTCGAGGTGATGGACAACATGGAAGCTGAGCCGTGTGCAAACCGTTTTCTCCAGTGTCATTACCGATTTCACGGAATGCCACGGTCCATCGTCAGCGACCGCGGGAGCAACTGGCTAAGTAGGTTCTGGAAGAGGTTCTGCCGTCTTGCAGGTGTCACGCAGAAATTGAGCACGGCCTATCATCCTCAGACGGACGGAGGGCCAGAGAGAATGAACCAGGAGATCGAGGCCTACCTGAGAGCCTACGTGTCGTACGTGCAGGACGACTGGGAGAACTGCTCCCTGCCGCGCAGCTGGCACTCAACAATCGTGAATCCGCAGCGACCAAGATCAGCCCCTTTTTCGCTGAGCATGGTTACCACGTCGATCCCATCAACGTCGAGGAATCGGAAGAGCCACCGAGGCATAGAGAGGAAAGCAGAGCTGATAGCCTACTCAGTCGCCTGCAGGAGGTCAATGAGTACATGCAAGCAGTGATGGCCTCCTCACAGCAACAACAAGAAGAGGCTGCCAACGCAAAGCGACAGCCTGCGGAGCGATTTGAAGTTGGTGACAAGGTGTGGCTCTCGATGGCAAACTACAGATCGCCACGACCGTGCAAGAAGCTCGACTGGCTGCATCACAAGTACACAGTCACGAAGGTAATTAGTTCGCACGTTGTTGAGCTCGATGTTCGTGGCTCAATTTACCCGCGATTTCATGTTGACCTTTGCGGCGGGCGCATCAAGATCCGGCTCCTGGCCAAAGGTAGATGACGCACAGCCACCACCGGTACAAGATGAGTCCGGCACGGATCTGTGGGATGTCGACGAGATCCTCTGCGCGAGATGGAAGAAGCGCGGACGAGGGGAATTCAGGCAAGCACTAGTGCGATGGACGGGCTACGCAGAGCCGACTTGGGAGCCAGTTGAGTGGTTGCAAGGAACAATTGCGATGAAGGCATTCGAGGACAAGTACGGGCCAATCAAGACCAATGATGGCCCTAGGAGAGGTACGAGACGCTGGCAGGAACGCAAGAACCCGCAGACGCCGACCTGGTCGGAGGGGACAAGGGGTAATGTCACGGGCTGTGCCTGGCTGGTGGACCCGGTTGTACCGGGTCCGGTGGGTCGTGCTCCGGTGGCAACACCGGCCCCGCTCCGCGGACCCAGAAGCTGCGAGAACATTCCGAGAAGGGCAATATAAGCTCGCACTCGAGGCTACGCCTCGAGTTCAGCTTCTTTTCCTCCTTAGCTCTAGATAGACAACACCTAGGCACCTGCTTGTTGAATAAACTCCGGGCCAGCCTTTCACAAGGCGGTTTATTTGCGCACAGCCGTATTAACGCTTGGTGGCGGCAGGTTGTAACCAGCGATAGCTATAGATTCCACCTTGAGAATTGGTCTTTTGCCCAATGTTTTATCCGACAAGTATAATCGGAGAGGAAGATGATGCTACTTTCGCTTTGCCGCTTAAGTCTCAATACCTTTATCTCTTACGTTTATGGTCGTTCCGTCGGAGTTGACTAAGAATACATTCCTTGCCGACGAGAACACTATATTGCTTCATCCTCTGCAACACCTACTCACTCGTCACTTAACCAACAGCGCCCGACGCGCACCACGTGCCGTCCCAATCTGCCATGCGGAACGAAGAAGATAGGGTTAAAGTAGGTCTCGGGAAACCTCGAACCCTAGGTTATTATTCCAGCCGTCGAGAAAAGCAGTTTATCAAATCGGGCCTCCAATTTGATTTGATTTAGAAATAGGAATCACCGATCTGATTTGATTTGATTTGGCTTAGGTTCGATTTGGATTTATTTAGATAAGATTTAGATAACACCACTTTCTCCCAAGATGATATATACTAAGCAGCGCCTATACGGTCTGCTCTACGGCGGCCTCTTAGGGCTATAACTATCTGCCCTATAAGACTAAAGATGCGCTAGCTAGAACTAAGAAAATATTAATTGCTGTCCGCGATAGGCATAAGGTATTAACGCCTTCGGAGAAGCTAATACTAAATGGGATTATCTACTAGTGGGGCCTGATTGGCGGGGTGTTTTTGGGGTCGCATCACCAGCGTCACTCGCTCCAACTTCGCCTCTCCCAGCTCTGCCGGTCCTCGCACCGTCCGCGGTACCCGCATCCGAGTCACGACGACCACAGCCTTGGGGCCCTGCGCCATGGAGTCGGTGGCGCGCATGTCGAGTCTCATGGAGACGGGTAAGTGTCTTGCTCGCCTCTCTCCCGCCCACCTCGCCGCTGAAACCCCCCCAGCTCGAGAGCTCACGCTCGATGCCGCCCAGGCCACGCGCGGAGCCCGAACCAGCTCCCGCACGCTCGACCGCAACCAGATGAGGAAGCTCCTGGACAGTAGGAACGACAGAGAGGTCCTCGAGGGACTGCGGCGCGTCATCTCCGTCGGTGCCAGCGCCCTCTCTTCTCCCCCACCCCCTCCCCTGTCACGCCACTGACGGCCGTCCTAGATGATGTATCGCAACCACAAGACGCTGCCATTCTTCTCTTCGGTTGTCAAGAACGTGGCCTCTCCCAACCTCGAAATCAAAAAGCTCGTCTACGTCTACCTCATCCACCATGCCGAACATGAACCCGACCTCGCCCTCCTCTCCATCAACACCATCCAAAAGTCCCTCTCCGACACCAACCCCCAGGTCCGCGCCCTTGCCCTCAAGACAATGTCCGGCATCCAGGTGCCCGTCATCAGCCAGATTGTCTCGCTCGCCATCAAAAAGGGCGTCGCCGACATGAGCCCCTACGTTCGCAAGGCTGCCGCCCTCGCCATGTCGAAGTGCTACCGACTAGACCCCAGCCAGTCGCCTCTGCTCATCGACTGTCTAGCCACCCTCCTGGGCGACAGGCAGTACTACGTGGCTGGCGCGGCTGTCTCGGCCTTTATGGAAATGTGCCCCGACAGGATAGACCTCATCCATAAGCACTACCGCAGCTTGGTCAGAAAGGTCGTCGATATGGACGAGTGGAGTCAGATGGCCTTGCTGCGTCTCATGACCTCCTACGCGCGCCGGTGCTTTCCCCGGAGAAGCCAACCCGCAGACACAACGCAGCAACAAGTCGCCGACGACGCTTTCTACGGCGAGTCCTCGGCCCAAGGCCCTGCGTCCTTGGACCCGGACCTGTTGCTCCTCCTGAATGCCATCCGGCCTCTTCTGCAGAGTCGAAACTCCGGAGTCGTGATTGGAGTCACGCGGTGCTACGCAGATGTAGGAGCGCCAGAATACCTGAAGCTTGCCATTGGCCCGCTGGTTGCGCTCCTCCGAGGCGCCCAAGACATTCAGCAAATTGCTCTCTACAACATTGTGTCCGTCTGTCTCATACGCCCTCACGATTTTGTCAAGTATGCCAGTCACTTTCTCGTCCGAGCCACCGATACAGCGCAGGTGTGGGAGCTCAAGCTCGAGGTCTTGACCGTCATCTTCCCGCATAGCCCCCCTCAGGTCAAGAGTCTCATCCTGAAAGAGCTGGAGCACTTCTCGCAAGGCTCAAGCAAAGCCCTGGTGCGTGAAGCCGTGCGCGCCATTGGCCGGTGCGCGCAGTCGGATGCGGCCACGGCGCCTCGATGCTTGAAACTGCTCCTGGGCCAGATTGCCAGCTTGGACGGGACCCTGGCCGCAGAGTCTCTGACGGTGATCCGGCACTTGATACAACAAGACGCCGAGGGACACATTGGCACCGTGGTGAGGTTGGCCAAGAACCTGGACTCTGCAACCGACCCGCAGGCGAGGGCGACCATCATCTGGCTGGTGGGCGAGTTTTCGGGATTCAACGGCGAAGACAACATAGCGCCGGATGTCCTGCGCATTCTGCTCAAGGACTTTGCCAGCGAGTCGGAGCCGGCGAGGCGGCAAATTTTGCTTCTTGCTGCCAAAGTCTACCTCCACCATCTCAACCGGAAGAGCGAGACGGGCAAAGACAAGTCCAAGGAAGAGGGGGACGGCGATGTATCGCACGAAACGGAGGTGCATCCCCTCGCCCAGCTGTGGGACTATGTGCTACTTCTGGTGCGGTACGACAGCTCGTACGACCTCCGAGACCGGGCCAGAATGTACCGGTCCCTGTTCGGGGTACCTCAGCTGGCGACGCTAATGCTGCTGGCGCCGAAGCCAGCCCCCCAGGCGCCGAGCCCCTCGGAGTCGAGGAAGGGCTTCTCGCTGGGCTCCTCGACGCTGGTCCTGGCTGGAGGGGGCGGAGGAGTCCACGGCCTGAGGGGCTATCAGAGTCTCCCGGAGTGGGTGGAGTCCGGCAAGGAGCCGGACCCCGAGCTACGAGATCAAGAGGGCGGCGGCACGTCGTGGCGGTACGAGGGCGATAAGAGCGCGGTCCCGGCCAGCGAGAAACTGGACGATGCGGCCCGGGCGGCGCCGACGAAGACGAACGGCATCGCCGAGGGGGTCGGGGCGAAGACGCTGGACGACTGGCTGGCCGAGGGAGAGGGAGAGAGCGAAGATACGGAGGAGACGGAAGAGGAGACGGACGAAGACGATGAAGAGAGTGAGGAAGGAGAGGACGATGAGGACGATGAGGACGATGAGGACAGCGACGATAAGGGCGAGAGCGGTAAGCTGCTCCATGAATGACAGTAGTTTGACATTGGCATGGCGTCTGCTTGTGAATTGTTAGAGGCGAGGCCCAAGCGGCTCATGGCTAGACTCGGCAGGCGAATGGACATCTATTTGATGGAACAGCTACACAGTCGTGGAGGATTGACTACTCAAGCAGAGCAGGAGGCTAATACGAAACATCCAAAGTCGTAGTAAAGGGAGCCAGCCTCCTCGTCAAGCCCTTTTATTTCACTCCTCCTTGCCGCCGAGGTAGCGGTAGACGACGGAAAAGTCGCGGCCCTTGCAGTCGTCACGCTTCTCGGCGGCCTGATAGACGGCAAGGGCCGAGTCCCCGAGGGCCATGTTGGCGCCGGCCTCGCGGGCGGCGACCATGGCGAGGCGCAGGTCCTTGCTCATGAGGGAGATGCCGAAACCGCCGCGGTAGTCGCGGGCGGCAGGGGCCGAGTCGACGACGCCCTTGACGGGGTTGTTGACTTCGCTAGGCCAGCAGCGACCGGTGCTGACGTTGAGGACGGCGGCGAGGGCCTTTGGGTCGAGCCCCCAGCGCACGCCGAGGTTCATGGCCTCTGCAGTGGCAATGTTGTTGAGGGCGAGGAGGTAGTTGTTTGCCAGCTTGGCGGACAGGCCGGCGCCCTGGGGCCCGCAGTGCAGCACCTTGCGGCCCATGAGGAGCAGGACGGGCTCGGCGCGGGGCACGAGGGCCAGGTCGGAGCCGAGCATAAAGGTCAGGGTGCCGGCGGTGGCGCCGACGACGCCGCCGGACATGGGGGCGTCGACAAAGGCGCCTTGGGCGGCGTCGGCGACGGACCTGGCGACCTGGCGCGACGTCGAGGGATCAATGGTGGACGTGTCGATGAAGACGCGGTCTTTGCGCGGCAGCGCGTCGGTGAGGATGGACGAGTAGACGGCCTTGACGTGCTGGGGCTCGGGGAGGACTGTGACGACGGTGTCCTGCGCACGTCAGCATGATTACGCCCAGGCCGGGATTGGACGATGGGCTGAGGAGGAGTGTGAAATTTCAGAGGAAAATGTAGGATTAATCAGGGCGAGACCAGCGAGCTGGCCCCGATTTGGATCATAGATAGAACAATGGTTGCTCATCACGAAGGGGTGAAGCAAGGGACGACGTTGGGGCAGGGCAAGCTAACCGCGTCTTTGGATGCGTCAAAGGCACTCGCGGCAATCTCGAGCGACGCCCCCCCCGCGGCGGACGAGGCCTTGACGTCGGCCTCAAGAGCCGCGAGGGCGTCCGGGTTGATGTCGAAGACGGCGAGCTTGTCGGCGGGCCGCAGCTTGGACTGCAGGTTCTTTGCCATTTGGTAGCCCTAGCATCGACGACGGGTGAGCAGCGCCTTGGGACGGATGGGAAGCCAACGGAGAGCGCTCCTCGGCCTGCCTACCATTTGGCCGAGGCCGATGAAGCCATAGCTTGCCAGGCGAGGCGCCGAGCTGGCAAAGGCTCGCCGCTGGCCAAAGGCGGCGGCCAGGCGCGTGGTGGTGGCTTTCATGGCGCGGTCCAACGACTGGCGTTTGCAGCGTCGTTGCTGGCGGGAGCTCAAGGGAAGCGGGGGTTCGGTTCGGAGTCTGGAGTCTTGATTACTAAGCGGCTTCTCCCTCTTGTGGAAAGTCTTGGATTCCTACACAGATATCAAGGAGATACGTATAGGTAAGCGGATTAAAGTTAAGAGGCATTGGAGATCCACGGCGTAGCTGCGCGTACTAGCCGGGCCAAGGAGGACTTCTATCTTGGTTGTCTCTGCTGGTAAGGAAAAGGGCCGCTGAATACGACGTTCTCATTGGATGTGATCTTTGTTGGAAACTTCTTAGTTGGTTTGAGATCGTTGAAGAGACATGTTACAACAACGCAATTGGGCCTATGGTCTAGGGGTATGATTTTCGCTTCGCATTATCCAATGTTCTGTGAAAGGTCCCGGGTTCAAATCCCGGTGGGTCCAGCTCTGAGCCCTATATACAAGGGAAATTTTTGCTTCAGCTTATTGCTCTAGATAGCAATTTTCTTTTTCCTCGCATAGGCCTATCGCCTTGCGGCTTCGGCTCGGCGTGTCTGTGTATACTTGAGCATTTCTCTTCATGCCTATGCCTTGTAATATTTCGTGTCTCTACTTTTGGCCCGCGCTACTTAATCGCTCGGTGCGCCAAGGTCAACTGAGGCCGTCACCAACCAACGACAGCGTATGTACGCGCCTCGATCTCTGCCGGGGCCTGCGATTGGGCCTTTGAATAGCCTTGAGCGATACATAAACTATAGCCATGGTTGGGCGAGAGTGCCTCGAGCCATACCCACGAACGCACCACAAGGGCCGCGTGCGTGCAACGGATGCCTATTGGTCGGCGCCCACGAGCAAACGGAAACTCGCAAACGCAGACGGCCAGCCTGTCGGCCCTACGCCTCCCTCCGACAAATGACCTCGCCGTGGACCACGGTGAACCAGGCATCCTCGTCGTCGCCCCAGCGCCTCCACGCCGCCGCCACCCGCTCGAGGTCGGCCTCGGTCGCCAGCCCGGCGTCGACGGCCGTCTGCGCAAAGGCCGAGGCCACGGTCCGCTCCGCCCACAGGCCGCTCCACCAGGCAATCTCGTCGGGCGAGCGGAAGCACCAGGTGCTGGCGCTGCTGGCGACGGCGTGGCGCGCAAAGCCCGCGCGCCGCGCCCACGCGTGCACCATGCGGCCGGCGTCGGGCTCGCCGCCGTTGGCCCGCGCCACGGCCCGGTACAGGCGTCGCCAGGCGTCGAGGCCGCCGTCATGGCCGTCGACGGGGTACCACGCAAAGGAGGCGTAGTCGGACTCGCGGGCGGCGACGATGCCGCCGTCCGGGCGGGCGACGCGGCGCATCTCGGCCAGGACGGCGACGGGGTCGCGCACGTGCTGCAGCAGCTGGTGGCAGACGACGACGTCGAAGCTGCCGTCGGCAAAGGCGAGGGCGTTGGCGTCGCCGGCGACAAAGGCCACGACGTCGGCCACGCCCCGTTCGGCGGCCAGCGCGCGCGCCTGCGCCAGCACCGCGTCGCCCGCGCGCTCCACGCCCGTCACGCTGCCGCCGGGGCTCACGTGCGCCGCCAGGTCGACGGTGATGGTGCCCGGCCCGCAGCCGACGTCGAGCACGCGCATGCCCGGCCCGAGATGCGGCAGCAGGTAGGCCGCCGAGTTGAGCGCCGTGCGCCACCGGTGCGAGCGGAGCACCGACGCGTGGTGGCCGTGCGTGTATGTTGCTGCTTCCGTCTTGCGGTCCATGCTGCGGCGTTGTGACTGGAGAAGGGGCAAGCAATGTTTTTCTCTTTGCTGGTCAACGAGTTGCTTGTTTGGCGGATGCGGGACTTGGACGATGCCGAAGTCCAAGTAAAGTCCAAGTAGCAACGGTCCGGTATCGGAGCCATCGTTTGGCAGCAGCCCAAGACGCCTGGCATATCAGTCGTTGCTCACTACAGCTAGAGAGCAACAGGAATTGCACCCTCGACTCCGATTCTCACATGCAGCAAAGTCCACCGCGAGCAACTTTGATTTTCCGCCGTCTCCCTGGACAGCCCTCGTCTTCAAAATGGCCGTTGGCGTCTCAGTCCGGACATTCACCTTGGCGGCACTTCAGCTTGTCTTTGTCCGGCAGCATATTCACTCTGGCTCCGCCTCTCACTCGCTCCTCAGTCGACACTCACATTAACATCGGCTTGACTTCGGCCATCTATATACTCCGCAGGCTCTTCCCTCTTCCGTCCCCCCCCCTCTCTCCTCCTACCAACCCTTTGCTCTCCTCCCTCACCCCCCATGCCCAGCCATGAGCCAAGCAACCCCCCCTTCGACCAACACTCCGTCGTCCGCAGCAACTCCCAAAGCCCGGCCGTTGGCTTCCAAAAAGCGAAAGGCAGAGGCAGAGACGAACATGAGCAACATCAGCGATTACTCCCATCTCGGCGGCTCCCCCGAGTATAGCCATCTCACCTTCGCCTGCAACGGCCACGAGTTCAATGTCCACAAGGCCGTCGTCTTGCCCCATTCCGCCGTCCTCAGGGCCGCCGTCCAGGGCAGGTTCCTCGAGGCCCAGACCAATGTGGTTTTCATGGATGGCTTCTCGCCTCGCACGGTCCGGTTCCTCGTTGATTTCATGCACAGGGACGACTACGCCTCATTCCCCGAGCACGCCGAGCTTCCTCTCCCTTTATGCCCAAGCTGCGGCGGCGCGACCGTCCCAGGCAAGGTTACCCAACAAACAAGCAACATATTATATTCCCAAGGTCGACTAACGACGGTACAACGTTTTAGCATCCACCACGGCCAGGAAGCAACGGGTTCGAGATGCGGATGGCCAGGCGCCGATGCTATCGTTCCCGACTGCCAGCCAACGCATGAGAGAGCACATGCACGTCAACGCCATTGCCGACTACTACGGTATCCCCGCGCTCGAGAAGCTGGCAAACGACAACCTCCGCGCCATCATCCAACCCTGCGTCGCCAAAGAGAACCAGTCCTGGTTCCCCGTCGCACAGCAAATAAAGACCCGTCGCTCGTGAGAGCCAGCCAGAGAGAACCTGTTTCCAGGCGTACTCCAGAAACCTGAACCACTGGATGTCTCAAACAAAGCAAGCCCATCCTGACCTCAGTCGCCTTACCAGTGGTAGGCCATGGTGATAGGACAAGCGATATGTAAAAGTCGAGCAAGTCATATCGTCATGATATTACTGAGATGATTGTAAAAAAGGAAATGCACTGGCTCTGGCCCATACCCGTGTTGCCCTCCTCCTCCCTCCTCCCCTCGTTTTTTTTTCGTTTCCAACTCCTTGCTGAATCCATGGTGCCTAGTTACGGATATCAACAAAGTCATCAAAACCGTCTGCCCTGCGCCTCGCCACCAGCTTGGTGTCTGTATGTCTCGGGGCCATGTTCCGCGATCGCCAAAGCACCAGTCTCGTCTCATCTCATCTGGTCGCTCTCAGGTCCCTCGCCACGTGTCAGGGTTTCTTCTCGCCCTCCGTCTCAGTCTCGACTCCCACCACCGTGTCGGAATCCGACTCGCTCGGCCTCGCCTCCGTCGACGGCGGCCCGTGTTTCGGCTCGGTCGTCTCAAATTCAGCGTTGAGATTGGCGCCTTGCCGTTCCTCCACGGTCAGCGCGCAGCCGGCCTTGCCCAGCCGGATGAAGAAGCAAGTTATGAGCGCCACGCCGGCGCACCCGACGCCTATCCAAAATATGCCCTTGTACTGCCTCTTCAGGTCCAGGCCCGCCGCGCGGAATTGCTCCCTGGCCACGTCGGCAACGGCGAGGAAAAGGGCCCCGCCCAGGAACAGAGTCACGCTGATGACGGCACCAGCCAGCCCTTGACGGTGTCGTGGCAGGCTCGTCGTGAGGAAGACATTGCTCACCGTCCACAGCACGTCGACGCAGGCCGCCTCGAAGAGCATGGCGGGGAAGACCCAGGCCCAGTAGTTGGGATTGTCGGGCATCAGTGCGAAGAATAGGACGGCCAGGACCTTGGACGTGCCCGAGAGAATGAGGAGCACGCGGCCCGGCAGCACGTGCAGGATGAAGCCGCTCATGGTTGACAGAATCAGACCCCCTGCGGCCCAGGGGCCGAACCAGACGGCCGTGATCAGTGCTCGGCGGCCAAGGACGAGTTGAATACTATTTACGGTCAGTGCTGGTCGTCCTCGCCACTCGTTTCCGGCAGAGCGAACACTCACTAAAAGTTGGAGTAGAATAGGTACATCGAAAACACGCCCCACGAGAGCAACAGGCAAAACAGCATCCTCTTCATGTACTTGACACGGAAAATGTCGGCCGGGATCAGGGGCGACGCGGCCACCCACCCTTCTACGTAGACGGCGGCGGCCAGGAACACGATCCCGAGCACCAGCGTGGTGATGATCGGGGGAGAGGTCCAGCCGTTGGGCTTGCTGGTGCTCTCCGTGATGGCGTAGATGAAGAGCATCAGGCCAGGGACCGTGGTCAAGACGCCCCACCAGTCCATCTTGACCTTCATCTTGCGGGCGGCGACATAGTCGCGAGGGGTGACGAGGAGCGTGCCGAGGCAGCACGGGGCGGTGATGATGCCGCCTAGCCAAAAGTACCACCTCCAGGACAGCAAGTCTTGGGCCATGCCGCCGATGATGATGCCGGCAAAGAAGCCGAGCGGGGCAATGGCACCGTACAAGGCAAAGACGAGATTCTTCCTCGGGCCCGGCCTGTAGATGCGCCCCAGCAGCGAGATGCCGGCGGGGAGGAATGCGGCAGTCCCCAGCCCCTCCATGGCCCGGCACAGCACGAGCACGGTAAAGTTGCCGGCGAAGCCCGCCGCGATGGTCCACACGATGAACCACAGCAAGCCTCCGTTAAAGACGAGGTAGCCCCCGTACATGTCGGTTACGCGCCCGAGCGGGAAAAGGAATGCACCAGCCACCAAGGTCAGGACGCTGGACGGCCATGTCTGAGACCCGGGTGGAATGTGAAACGGCTCAATCAGGGCCGGTAAGACAACCTGGAAGCCACCGATGACGAAGTCCTTGAGATGCCACGCGGGTCAGCGAAAGCGACATGGGAAAGAGAACGGATGCGCCATGGGAAGGTGGACGCGGGAGAGAGAGAGAGAGAGAGAGAGAGAGAGAGAGAGAGAGAGATGGTCAATGTGAGGTGATGAAGGGCCGAACGGCCAAGGACAAGATGACGGCACACACAAAGACTCACAGCCATGGCGAGAGAGCCAAGCATGGAGACGACAAAGGCAGCCTCGAGCCATGTCGACGAGAACTCGGCGGGCCGTTGCCGGCCGAGCTTCTCGACGTCAATCGTCCGAGGCAACTCCTCCGAGACCTCTCGTGCTGTAACGACAGGCTCATGCGAGGCCATATTGTTGTCTTTGGCCTTCATTGCGCAGGATCGCGCGTCTCGGGGGGCGGTTTATATCGACAGAGAAGACGGCTAGAAGAGAAGTGGTCGGCTGGGAAAGGGAGGGAGGCTGTTGGGCTGGCTCCTGACGCCATCTTGACTCTCATTCCATTCCTTGAGGCTTCTTTTATATCCGTGACTTGCTGCAGGCCTCCATGAGCCAGGCACAAGAATGCCCCCCCACGGGCCAGCTCGTGGAGCCCCGTACTTCCTTTTGGGCTGGGCGCTGTCGTGGCATCGTCACAGTCTTGGTAAAGCTCGATGCATCATGCTCTCCCATATCTGCTTGTGCCTCCATTCATCTCTCGCGATATCTCCTAATGTCCCCGGCTGCGGCGGTGAGAAACGCATCAGATGTCGAAAGGTTTCCTGATGGGGGAAGCACGCGAAGCTCTAGACCCGCGCCGGCCCCGCCAGAGCATGGCTGGTGGGCGGAGGAGGATCCAGCGTGGAGGGAGAGACGGAAGGGAGACGCGGAGTCCGAAGACGGTCTCACGGTATGTGCCATGGATCCGTTCTAGACATTGTCGGTATCCGGGAGTGGCGGGCGTTGGAGTGCGCCTGGGTACGTGGGCGCCGTCCAACCCAGAGAAAGGCGCATCGTGGCAACGGCTGAAGCGGTTTGCGCAAGAGGTTGACGGGGGATTCCTGTCGGCGACCCCTGTCACCAGTCGGAACCCGTGGCGCCCCAGCTCTGTCGCTCAGGAACTCTGGCGCTTGCTGGTCGAACATGAGAGACCCTTTGGGCATTTATCTAAGATGGCTACAGCGTCCGTCGCCTCAGGCCTCCGTGGATCCCCCTGCGCTGCGGCGGGTGTCGTCAAGTTTCCCGTTTCGGCCGCAAGCTGGAGTGTTCGACCAGGCAAGCTTTGCTGCGACTCCGGAGGCAAAAAGGAGGGCAATGTCTGCAGGTCCCGTCGCGGCATCGGATGCACGATATGTCTACTGCTTTCCGCTTTGGGCAGCCCTTGTGCATAGAAGCGTGGCCGAGGCGTCGGGCGGCTGTCACCCTCCGCAGCAGCGCCAGATGGCCACAGGTGCGGGAGTGGCCCATGGCAGCCTATTCCCGTCCAACCACACCCACTGCCGCCGCTGGTGGTGGGCCGGCCTCTCGCTTGGCTGATATCCAAGGTGTGTGTAGCGCGTTGCGTCCAGTCAGGCTCCTATCGTCGCCGCCTCCACCTATCTCTTCTCGGCCGTTGTAGCGGAGAGGCGGGGGCGGAAAACAAACGACAAGACCATGATTCTTGCCACCACGCAGTGAAGGAGCAAAGCGCCTGACTCTCCGTCTCTATGTTCCATGCCCGCCAACAGCGTTCGTAGCAGCAGCAACAGCGGCAGAAGCGGCAGCGGCACCAGGCAGCAGTACCAGGTTCACCCACACTGGCGTCTCGCTCCGACGTTCATCCACCACAACGGGAACGTCACGGTGTGGAGTTGAGCCAGTTTCGACGGGGAAAAAAAACCGAGGGTAGCAACCGCGTCTCTCGCCCATCGCCCTCAGCAGGCATCATCCAGGCAAGAGAAACATCGAGGGAGACAGGGGTCTCAGATCTCCGCCAGGCACGGAACAAGCGGCGCATGCCGAGCATCAGCAAGCCGTGCCACAACTGCCGCCGCCGCCGCCTGCGCTGCGATCGCTCGTGGCCAACCTGCCACAAATGCGCGGTCTCGGGGCAGGAATGCCTCGGGTATGGGAGGGTCTTCGTCTGGACACAGGCGATTAACGCCCATGGCAATCTGAAGCCGCCGTCGGCGCCCCCGGCCTCGGCGGCGGCGGCCGTTCCTGTGCCGTCGTCATCATCGCCATCGTCGCCCCGGTCCTTGGCGACGGCGCCGAGCCGCAAGCATCAGCTGCAGCAACAGCAGCTGCAGCAGCGCCGGCAACAGAAGTCGAGTCGGCAGCAGGGCGAGCCAAGCCTGTCGTCGGTCGCCGACGCAGGACACGGCGGCCCGGAGGGAGGCGGATCAGGCGTCGAGGCTCGAGATGGCGGTGCTCTTGGTCAAGTTGCTGGTGCCGGCAAAAACGACGACGACACAGGCGGTGAGGGCGGCGGGGGTCCCCAGCAGCTGCGGCAAGAGCAGCAGCAGCAACTGCCCCAGCACCTTCAAGCCCGCCGCGACGGTCACCCGCTCGGGCAGGAGCTCGCGCCCCACGGCCAAGCAACGACGACTCCTCAAATGTCCAGCGACGGTATTGACATCGTTCACGACGGCATCCATGGCCATCGGCATCCACTTCAGCCACGCGTCTCTTCGACATCGGCCGGCATCGAAAATGATGCATCGTCGGCACAGCAACGCCACGGATCCCTGGGCCCGGGCCGCGTTTCGCTCGGCAACCTGACGGATCCCGTTTTCCAGGATCTCGATAGGAACTCGCGATACTATCTCGCCCATTGTGAGTCGCTTTCTGTCGGCAGGCGAGGGTCGGTCCAGACGCTGCCTCACCAGCTCCCCTCCTCTCCTTGTCCTGACATGTTTGTCTGGCTCCTCCCGCTTCTCCCATTTGTGCCCCCCACGCTGCGACGCAGATAGCTCTCTCTCTTTTCTCCTCTCGGCGAGATCACTTTCTGCTTATCCCGAGCAGCTTTCATCACCTTTCCTCCCTGTCAGTGCAAAAAGCGGATACTAATGCAATCATTGCCATCTCAGTCGCCGATCGCGTCTGCAAAGACCTCGTGGCCCGCGATGCTCCCGGCAGCAACCCCTTCCGGGAACTGATCCCGCTGACCAACAGGCACCCGCTGCTCCTCCACATTCTCGTCGCAACGTCAGCTATTCACTGGTCCAACATCTTCCGCCCCATCACGGCCATTCCAACCGGCTTGACGGATCCCGGGGGCTACTTGGCCCAGCTGCGTGCCAAGGATCTCGTCTCGAGACAGGCGCTCATCGATGCCCTGACAGCCAAGCAAAAGGCCATGGGCCACCTGCGCGAGGTGCTTGACACACTGGACCCGGCCGTTAGCGAGGTGGCGCTTGCCGCCATGCACTTTTTTGTCAAATTTGACCTCATCGATCTGGAGCGGAATGAGAAAAAGGGCTGGCAGACACATCTCGAGGGCGCCAGCAGCATCCTGGCCCTGCTGGCGCCCGGCAGTGCAGCAAGCTCGTCCAGCAGGATGCTGCGCGACTGCGTCATTGCCGATTGCTTTATGTGAGTGCCCGAGCCCCCCGCGCAAAAGGACGTACCGGTCTGCGCAGCCACTTGATCCCCCCCAGGAAGCGGGAGATTCGAGTTATTTCTGACGTGGCGGCTTGCACAGATATCACATTCTGGGATCGACGTTGGCTTCCGGAGCCCTCGCCGCACGAATCGCGCGGTACGCCTTTGAGCTGCTGCCGGTCATGAAGCGGGTCGAGGTCAACAGCTACCTGTCTTGCCCGGCGGAGATCCTCCAAGTCATCCTGATGGCATCGCAGCTGTCGTACGAGACGCCGTGCACCGACTGGTCGCTGTCGGCGGCGGATGAGGCACTCGCCCTCATCGGCCAGGCGCTCGCCTTTGACATTCCTGGCTGGGCCTCGCAGTTGCAGCGGCAGTCGGCTAACGTGACGGACATTGAAAGCCGCGTGCACGTGGCATCGGCGCACCGGTCGGCGGCGTGCCTCTATATCTTGCAGGCGCTGCCGTTGGCACGAGCAGTGCGCCCCGTCGACAGCGATTTCCTTGTGTCAGACATCTTGGGCCACTTGGCGCAGATTGACGAGCGTGACCCGTACTTCAAGGCCACGTCGTGGCCGACTTTCATCGCCGGGGCGGAGACGCGCGACGCCGAGAAGCGGACGTGGACGCTGAAGCGGCTGCTAGCCATCTGGGGGATCTGCTCGTGGGGCTACATCTTTACCGCGATTGAGATGCTCAAGGCGACATGGGCGATGCGGGACGGCAGCGAGGGCGCCGTGAGCTCGGTGGAGCCGGGTGTCAACTGGCTGCAGGGCCTCAGGGACATGGGCTTTGATTATCTGATTGTGTGAGCATGTCTCGGAGCCTCTACTCTCTTGCCTCGAGACGGCGGGGAGGACGTCTCGAGTCGGCTTACTTGGCCATTTCTTTGTGTGTCTTTGTTGGCGACGTGAAGGGGAGCAGAGCAAGGGAAACAGGACAGAACAACGACTGGGAATGGCAATTTGCATCGGGAGGCGCTGCAGCATTGAATATGTCGAAGAGGCGAGCAAGCATAGGCATTGGGGAGAGCGTGGGAGTGGACTATCACAACCAATCGTTTAAAAGGTCATTTACAAGGATTCGCCTGTTTGTTTTACTTCTGGCATTGCCTGTCGTTTGTGCTGTTCTGTTTTGTCTGCAAATCACCCGCCGCAGTTGGCAACGATGATGGACACGTCTCCGGTGGTTCGCTGCTCCTCGACGGCGTGGTGCGTTGTGTGACGGGGTGTGCTTCGAGGGTGGCTGTTGGGCATTGTCCATAGGGCACGGTGGGCACCCACCCTCTGCGCCATCTTGGATCGGCGAAGGCTTAAATATCTCGCACAGGCAGGACCGAGGAGAAAGGGAGGCGTTTCGGCGGCTATGATGGTAGCAGATGGACGTTGTGTGCAGATGTGCGTGCCGACGGGAAGGAGGCCAGTTTCAGATTATAGTCTTCCTTTGCATCTTGTAGCTTCAGAGGACAAACGACGGGCTGAGTTTGCGTCGGCGATGGATAGGGGGCGGAGGCGAGGTCCCGGACAAGGTTTGTTCAGCAAGTTGCTTGATACAGTGCTGAGCACACGTCATTTTCCTCCTGCCCGAGGAGGCTGAGCGGCATCACGACGACCTCTTGGGCGTGGGCCTGAAACCGGACCAGGAACAGGAAGCAAACGTGGGGGCCGGGCGGCTCCGGGCAGCTCCGGGCAGAGCGGGGCCGGTTACTGTGGGGCGGCACCTTGTATGTATTTGCGGTATTAAGCCGGGGATGGCCCTATGAGGCTCAACTCTATCGCTGAAGCTGGCAGCAGCAGCAGTGGAGCGGCAAATCAAGGTGCCAGAGAAAACAATGGGAAGACGTCGCTAGCGGCCATGGGCCAGACAAGCTCTGCTCCACCGTCACAGCCAACGGCTCTGCGTGCCTGGGCCGGAGCGACGTGCGCGGTTTCAGGGCCGCCAAGCCGGTCGCTCAGCCCGGAGGATCCACAGACGCCGGTACCTGTTGGTACATTGCTGCGTCCACCGTGACTGCGGGGCGTTGAAGTACCTTTCATGTACGTACTGTAGATTTCCTGGATCGCCCAAAACGAACCTCTGTTCCCCACGCAGGCAGTTCATGATCCGCCATCAACATTCATCATGCGCAGCCTTCAGGAAGATGATCAAAAACTTCGTCACTCCCCGTCTCAAAGTACACGCAAAATGTAAACCCGAAAAAAAAAGATCGCATGCAAAGACAAAGGGGGTTCCAACAAAGAAACGCCCCGCCGCCGGACCATGGCACGGGAGCCCCCTCGGCCGTCCAGCGGGGGGGAGGCCCGGGCGGCGCCGGAGGGCTGGGCTGACCGACCCCCACTCGCTGCGCACGGCCCGGGGCCTTGTCTCCCTATTCAGCCTGCGTCTGGCGTCCCCTGTTCCTGTTTTGTCTGCGTCCATCATTGCCGGCTTGTTCTTCAGCGTAGATGCTTTTTCGAGCTGTGTTGGGCGCGGGTGTAAGTCTTCTTCTCGTCCCCTTTTCACCTTCTTCCACAAATCGTGAATAGCTTCTGTTGTCTCGGGGTAAGAAGAAGAAGAGGAGAAACACACCCCATCGTCATCTCAACCATCCATACCTCCTCCTTCGGCTGTGTCCCGTCCAGCAACGAAACCGAGAGCCTGTCCCAAAACAAATCCCCAACGTCGACGGGAACCACCGCCCTGCCGTTTCACCGTCGCCCATCCGCAGCACATCCGTCAAGCTTCCCTGTCTCCCCGCCCCACGCGCGTTTCCCTTAGCTCGGGTCTTTTTAGGTTCTGGGTCTTGCCTCGGCTGCCTGTCCCTGCCATGATCCGGTCACGCTTAACCACCATGTGGCTCTGCCGGTTGCCCGTGCCTCGGGCGTTTCCTTATCTCTGCTGCTCCCAGGTCTTGCAAGCACCGGTACAGCGGGGCCGGGGACCATGCAACCAACAGCCTTGCTAGCTAGCACCTTGTGCCTGACCTTGCCCCTGTCTGCCTCATCTTGGGTTACGAGCATTCGTGTTGGCTACGTAGCTGCTGGCCCCCTATGCCATGCCACGCGCCAACCCTCACCAGACTTCCCTACCCGGCCGCCCATCCTCACCAACTCTCGATCGGCACCGCTCACCATGGCATCCGGACGCTCTGGTCGCTCGGTTTCAGGCTTCAATCCGTACACGTTTGACTCCCCCCCTTCCCCTTTGGCAGCTCTCCTCACCACTGCTTTGCCGCGCCGCAAGCTCCCTCAGCTCCGGCCTCCCATCTCACCCTCGACCCGTGCTCTCCAGGGCACATCGGTGATACAGGGGACATGTTCTCGTCCAGCTCTGGGGGCCGGCACACCGCAGAACCGCTAGTAGCGGGACGCGAGGCCGCAGACACAGCTCGCCTTCGAGACCGGATATATAATTGCCAGTCAACTCTCCCCTCACCATCCGTCTCTTCTCTCTCATCAGCAGCCACAAGTGGTATTGTCTTTTCCTTCCTTGGCCTTTACTTTGTCTCTCTCTGTCTGTCTCATCACCTTAACTCGCCCTTCACTCAGCCCCGGTGGCTGCGCAGCTTGTGAATTCTAATCCACCACTTCTTACTCTTTTATTATTAATTTTTCTTCTTCCCCAATCTTCACAATGCGTTACGCTTTCATCTCCTCGGCTCTCATCGCCAGTGTTTCGGCACACGGCCTCGTCCTCCGTATGGAGGGCGCCAACAATGTCACCATGCCTGGCCTTTCCGGTATGTCCCTCCGAGGATGCCCCCCTATCACCACTTCCCCTTGCACCTCTCCCTCGCTAACCTTGGCCTGTCTCAGTCACTGATGGCACTCCTCGGGACTGCACCTCCAACGGCTGCGGCTCCCAGGCCGACACGTCCATCATCCGGGACCGTGACATGAGCCAGGGCAAGGCCAGTGCCCTGGGCCGCACCCAGGGCAACGGCCCTGTCAATGCCGCCACCGCCATTGGCAACTTCATGGGTACGAATCAGAACGTCGCCTCCAACGCTGGCCAGACCGGTGTCGGTCAGGAGGACGACCTGTCTGGTCTCGCCGGTAAACAGCGCCGCGATGCGCACAAGACGTATGCCAGGGGCCTCCTCGACGGTCTCCTGGGCGGCGGTGCTGCCGGTAAAGGCGGTGCTGCCGGAAAAGGTGCTGCCGGAAAAGGTGCTGCCGGAAAAGGTGCTGCTGGCAAAGGTGCTGGCCTTGGCGGCCTCCTCGGCGGTGCTGCTGGCGGTGGCGGCCAGAAGGGCAACCTCCCTGCCGAGAAGTCCGTCGCCAAGAGCATGGGCATGGGTGCCACGACAGGCCTTCCAACTGCCGATGATCAAGGCATGGTCACCATGGTCTACCGACAGGTACGGCAACACGCGGCTTTCTCTCTCGTCTCGAGATTCCTCTGCTAACATGGCACCGCTCTTCAGATCAACCAGGATGGCGCCGGTCCTCTCTCTGCCGCCATGGATGGCACCTCTGGCGGCACTGACCCCAACGCCTTCAAGAACGCCCAGGTCATGCAGGACGTCCCCGGCCTCGGCGTCGGTGGCCTGTCCCTGGCCACTAATACCGACTTCCCTGTCAAAGTCCAGATGCCCCAGGGCATGACCTGCGACGCCACCGTCGGCGGTGCCCAGAACGTCTGCATCGTCCGCGTCCGCAACAGCGCCGCGGCCGGCCCGTTTGGCGGCTCTGCTGCCTTTACCCAGACCCCCGCCGCCCGCAAACGCGCCATCGCCTTCCGCCTCAGGAAGCGCGCCGAGCTCGCTGGCGAGGCAGACCCCCAGACTTTCGAGGAGGCCGTCAAGGCTGAGAACGCCGAGGAGGGTGACCTCGACAAGCGCTTCCGCCTCGGCCAGCCCGCCGACGCCCAGTCCATTGCTGCCGCCAATAAGGCCGAGGAGGACGAGGATGAGGCCGGCCTCAACAAGCGCTTCCGTCTCGGACAACCCGCCGATGCCGCCTCCATCGCCGCCGCCAACAAGGCCGAGGAGGACGAAGACGAGGGTGGCCTCAACAAGCGCTTCCGTCTCGGACAACCCGCCGATGCCGCCTCCATCGCCGCCGCCAACAAGGCCGAGGAGGAAGAGGACGACTAAAATGACATCAAGATTGTAAAAACAAAAAAACAAAAATTTTATTGCACAGCGCATGGCCAATTGACAGGTTGGCCATGCTGAATTAGGCCCCCAGAGGGTAAATTCATCGCATGCATGCTGTACACAGAGGGGTCTTTGCACATTCGCACACAGGCCATTTTCTTCCGTTATTTTCTTCTCTGTCACAAAATATAGTCATAATGCAAAAGTTGTTGCCTACCCAATAATTCAGTCCGACGTTGTGCTAATGGGATTGGGCATATTTGAGATGTGCGCGTCGAAAAGAAAGCTTATCGGTGGTGCCCGCAATTGCGTCGTAATTCACTTAGGCCACGTGACCACTTATCGCCCACAAAACGCCGCCCGTGAAATCGTGTGCAGGACGCCTGATAAGTGCATTTGATAAGTTCCCACCCAACTTATCGGGTTTCCGGCCAACACCAGCCCAGACATTCGCCCGTAGGAACGTTGCCCGATCGACCGAGATGGCCGCGGACGACTCGTACACGGCAGCTGACGAGCGCGCCCGTGCCGCCCGGAGGCGGGCATCCAGGCGAAGAAGGACGAACAGCCGGCGAACACGGCGCGGAGTTACGCGGCGAAGCAGCGGGAGTGGAAGGCGCGTCCCCCGGCCGGTCCTCCACTTCGATCCCTGTCACGTACGGCCCCCTAGGCGGCTAACAGACAAATACGTATAGGCCTGGTGCCATACGCCTCGGGCTGCAGCAGACGGCTCGCTCTATAGCTGGCCCGACGGCGAGCTCGTAACGCCGGACAAGCTGGCGGCGTGGCTCAAAGAGGATATCCTGTTACGACGCGTTGTGCCGCCGCAGAAGAAGCCGCGCGCGGGTAAGGTTAGGGGCGACGGCAACGGCGAGGCCGTACAGGTACGGCAACAGCGCGAACAGGAGCAGCTCGAGGCCGCGGCCATGGCAGAGGCCGAAAGCCTGGCCGAAGCTTTGAGGTCCCCTGGCCGAGGCCGCTGAGCTGCTCGCTGACGACCGCGAGGGTTACGTGCCACCCACAGGCCTCGCGACGGCTGCAGTAGACCTTACCGAAGGGTCTTTGCTTACGAGGGGCACTATCGACGCCTATATCGCGGCCGTTATCGAGCTATGGAGGCTCCAGGTGGCTCACGGCAACTCGAATACGGAGAATCCCCGGGGCGCCGCCGTACGAGGATTCCTTGAGCAACGGGGCCGGCAGCGGGAAGCACGACCGAGCCTCCTTTAAAGACCGCGGGAGCGACGGGATCCAGGCCGGCTACCTCCCCGATGAATGGCTTCGGATCCAGGATCTCCTTCTCACTGGCGCCGCGTATACGCCGCAAAACCTCCGTACGCGAGTCGACCTCCTCTTCGGCCACTACTACCTCTTACGGGGAGAACCGCCGCAAGATGGAGCTTGCAGACCTGTCCCTACTCGACTATCCGCCTTCGGAAGGGCCGACCCCTGTGGTTGCCTGGTAAGCCTTTTACGGGACGGCAAGCTAAATAAGACGGCGAGGAAGGAGTTTATGGGCGCGCTCCGGCACAAGGACCCTTATTCTGTACGCAAGGGCCTAGCACAGCTCTTCTTTTGGCGCTGGCACGTCGCCGGCGAACCGCCCCCGTCCTTCCGGCGCCGTCAGGACTGGTATCGGATCAAGGTCCTCGTCGGGCGGGACCGCGAGCAGGAGCTCTCGTACCCGACGCAGCTACAAGAGACCTGGCGTATCTTCGGCGCTGCCGGCCTTATCGCGTCGAAGAAGACGCACCTCCCGCGCAGGGTGGGCGCCCAGGACGCGGAGACCCATGGCACGTCGCTCGCCCAGATCTCGCAGGCCGGCCGCTGGAACCAGAGCGTGCTCTGCCAGGCATATCTTACGCACCTACCGCGGCAGTTCATGCGTATCGTCGCCGGCTTCTCGGCCTCCCCGGGGGACTACTTCCTCGCGCGTGCGGCTCACGAACCCCCGTACGTCTTACAAAAGCAGCTGTGGCCGTGGATCGAGGTGGGAACCCGCTTTGAGGCGCGGGCGCGCCGGCAATGCTGGGCAGAAGGCGGTCTCGACGACGACGACTTAGCCGCCGACGGCTTCCTTAAGCTTATGCGGCGCCTGCGTATAGTACTTCTGCAGGACCTGGCCGTCCTACAGCTCCGCTACCCGTCGCTACCGTTCTTCGCCTACGCCCCTTTTAGCGGGCCCGAGTGGGACGAGTTCGCCGTCGCCGTGCGGTCCACCGCGGTAGGGGCTATGGAGCCGGTAAGCCTGCTCGTACGACGCGCGCTGCCGGAACTAAGCGGCGTCATAGAGAGCACGCGGGAGGCCCTGTTACAGAATAGTCAGCGGCTCGCCATCCGGCTTGAGGCCCGGCTGGACGGGGTTCAGGGCGGCCTCGATGCCCTCCTCCAAGGCAAGGTCCCTATCACCTTTACCGGTTACTTCGGAGCCGGGGCAGCAGAGGCGCTGGGCGCCGGCCCCGGCGCCGTCAACAGTACCTACCTTGAATCTCAATACAGCTCCGGCCCCGGCCCCCGACCCAGAGCCTCTGGTACCAGGCATGCCTATCGTCACAGCCCTGGCAAGGGTCTTTACGGTGGGGGACGTCTGGAAGGAGTGGGAGGAAGGGTTTGCAGGTCAGAAGGCCGTACGGGAGCTGGAAGAGACGTGGGGAAGCCGCTGGCGCCGGGAACGGGGTCAGAGTGCAGTTCTGTCGCCGGAAGGTGATCTGGGACGAGCTGTTGGCCCGTATGGCGTCCGGCAAATGCAAGGAGGCGGCCGTTGCAGAGCTAGAGCTGTTACGCGCCGGCCGAAGCTTGAACCGACTCGTCGACGAACTCAAACAGCGCCGACGGCGGGGCCAGGATCGGGGCCAGGGCCAGGGCCAGATACGGGTACAGGTAGGGACCCCCGTGCCCGATGACCCAGGTCCAGGCCCGGGACCAGGTCCAACTCGAGGTCAGGGCCGTCGGGGCGGAGGACCCGGCTGGGAAAGCGGACCGCCCTCGTCGACGTAAGCCAGCCGCCTCGTAGAGTCTTTACACATATTTATATCCATGTAACTAGACATATTTTTGAGGATCAAAGGGCCGTAGGATCAGTGCATTACTATCTCACAGTTCCTGTGGCCGAGCCTAGCCCCCCATTACCCATTCGCGGCGCTGCAACGCAAATATCTCGACGGGCAGTAGCCTATACGGTGCTCCTCGACCAAACGCGCCGCCGGGTGTAGTAGTCCCCAGGCCCCGGAATGGCCTGGATTGGGCTGCTGGCCGTGGAGATATTCGCGTGCGCGCCGCCGGGCACTTATCAGATGGTAGATGTGTAATCGCATACGATTTCCCGAAATTACTCCGCAAATCGACCCCACGATAAGTCCTGCTTATCTAATTCAAAAGCTCGCAGAAAGGGCGAAAGTCAATGACAGACATCTTGCCAACAGCAGCAGTTGGGGGAAGAATGCTTCACCAACCGTACTCTGCCCGGAGTCGGATAAAAACCAAAACATGACCGAAAGACTCTGGGCCAGTATTTCCCTGCCAGGCGTCAAACGCTGGTATCATCACGCAGACTTGGTGGTTCAAAAGAGTCAAGTCTCTTCCGTGATATCTAGGTAGTATATGTCAAAACGCCGATCCATGCAATGCTTGGTCGTTAGGTCATGAGACAGGCAAGATGAGGAAATGTAATAAAAGCAAGAACCAAAAACCGCCGCGCAAGAAAGCGAGGGCGCTCAAACATCAAAGCATGCAAATGATACAGACGTGACTGAGGTCCGGGCTCCATGTCAGCCCGGCTTGGTATATGGAACGGCGGCGCGTCGAGTACAGCCATGGGCGAGCGGCCGGCCACCGAATACCAGAGAGCCCACCAAAGGTAGACCAGAGGCTACTACCATCGGCGGCTGCATTCGTCAGTTACCTATCACGAGTGCTCATTCGACACGACTAAAGCCTTACCTATACGCTGAGTTGGTATTGTTCTGCCGACGCTTGGGCTTTGGCGGAGTCCTCCGTTCCAGGCGTTGGTGCGAGGGCGGGCTGGGCTCCGGCTGTCTCTGGTTCTTTGGCCGGCCCAGGAGCTCTGCCTCGAGAGAATTCAGATCCGAGGATTTGCTGGACACGCTCGAGTGCCGAGATCCACGAGACGCGGTGGAGCCCCGGCGCTTCCGGTCGGCTTGTCTCGGAACGTCGAGCGAGTCCCAAAGACTGTCATTGACACCATCGTCCTCAAGGGCTCTATCCTTAACGCTGTCGGCTGAGCCGCTTGGCTTTGGCCTCTTGGGGCTTGTCTCATCGTCGTCCGACTCATCACTGTGCTCGCGTTTCCGTCTCCACCGGACGTCAGTCGGAGGCGTAGGCGATTTCCATCTCCCCTCGCTTAGAGCCCGGGAATTCAGGACAGGGTTCGGTCCGGCTTCGTCGCTGGAGACTTCTCCGTCTTCTTGGTCATCGCTAGGCAGCGGGGAGTTTATGGCTTCGCCATCGGTTCCAAAGTCTGGGGCGTTGCCACTCGCGTCTGCCCTGGGTGGTAAAGACAGATGTTCTCCGGCAGCCTCGGGTTGTGTTTGGTTGCTTCCATCAAGAGACTGAGGCCTTGTTTCCTGCTCAGCATTTGCCGAGTCACTTGTCTTGGCCACCGAGTCATCAGGGACAGCGTCACAATCGGTGCTGCTTTTGCCCTGGATCTTGGCTGGCACGCCGTCTGCTTCTACCAGCCCTGTCTCTTTCTCAGGCGAGCAAGGCACAGAACGCGTCTCCCTGGGAAGAGGCGTTCCACTTTCTCGTTGATCGAACCGCCCGTGTGCGGGCGAGTTGCCTGGCGGCGGACGGTCGGCGGGGGGTTCCGAGTTGTAGGCGTTGTGACGAGGGCTCAAGTGGGAACTGGGTTGAGGCGGGGCAGGCCGGAAGCCCTTGTGTCGCTTGTCCTGGTGATGCTGGCGCTCGTATTTTCGCTTACTTTTGTAGTCGCGCTGTGGATGAACTTGGTCGTGGCTCGGCGGCGGTTTGGGTGGGAGAGGGTGACTGATCCTGGAGTTTGGAGGTATGGGGGGGATCGCGGCAGGTTTTAGGGGTGACGCTTCCGACTGCCCGTACGCCGGTCTACTGGGCGAGTGTTTTGCCGATGCAGGTTTGTGAGAGGCGGGCGCGTAGGGAAACGGCTGTGTATAAGGCGGAAGAGGCGGCCTGTATTCGTGCGCACTCGGCCTGCCGGGCGCGAATGGGACCGAAGGGGGAAGCGGTGCAGGAGGAGGGCCCAAAGCTCCATGATGGCCGTAGCGAGGCGGTCCATAAGGGGCTGGAGGCGCATACGGGGGCAGGTGGTAAGGATAGGCCGGCTGAGGGTAGCCAGCAGGCAACGGGGGAGGCGGAATTGCATAGGGCTGGAATTGGCGGCTGGGTCCCGGATAGGGAGCCGGAGGTTGATGAGGGCCAGGAGGGCCAGGAGGGCCAGGAGGGCCAGGAGGGCCAGGAGGGTGCGGCGCATAGGGACTGATGGCCGAGCCGAACGAGGGCTGGGGCGGCGGCGGCGGCGTGTACTTGGTGATGATGGGCCCCTTTGATCTCTTCGAAGCGGAATTGTAGGCATGGCCCTTGCCGCCTCCTCGGCCGACGTTGGATGAGTTTCTCCAGGCGGCCAGTCCGCTTTTCAAGCAGTATAGAGTCAGCGGGCATTCAAGCATGGCATGATGACGGGGAGGCCCACGCTGGGGTTTCTCGCGTAGGCTCGGGACAGGCGACAGCCCAATGTCCTGAGGAGCCGCAGTTGTAGCATTGAGCTTCTTGAGTCGGGCCGCCACGGCCAGGGACTGATTCTGTCATTTCCGGGCATGCGCATGAGGTTGGCTGTTGGCGAGCAAGCAGATGTGCTTCGTCGAGGCCTGGCGGTCTGCGGAAGCTCGAGGTGCCGTGGCGATGTCGCAGTACAGTGCAAACTTAGTTGGTATCGGAGGCGTCTTCAGCGCGAGCCGAGGGCGTGCCGTCCTGGACGCTCTTCCTGGGATGCCGGTCGAAGTAAATGAAGGGAAACGGGGCGGATGAGAGGGCCGACTGTTGATTCCGCAGATCCTCCTCCCCTGGCCTCACTTGATGGTGTGAGAAGCGTCACATTTAGGCGGGATGGAGGAGGAGGAAGGGCTCTCTCTCTCGCTCTGTCTGTCTCCCGTAGGTCGAAGTGGTGAGGCACACGATGGGCAGAGTTGCAACTGGAGCTGGAGCTGCTGGATGCCGGAACATGGGTGGAGCACGTGAGACAGCGCACGGGCCAGGGGCCTGCTGCGCCTGGGCCGAATCTTAGCCGGGCAGAATAGGCGCCTACATGGTCAGGTGGCGCCGGCAAGCCGTCAAGAAAGAGCTCGCACTCATCAAACACAGTACATAGGTAAGTTAGGTAGTGGTCTTGGCTGTTTAGTTCCAGGGGCGGTTGGATAAGCAGATGGACTCCGACGCTCGAAAAAACACTGTAGATGCTATGAAGGGGCCTCGAGTCCCTCTGTGCGGGCAGCCAAGAAGCGCCATGCATCTCTTTGGCACCGCTCCGGGTCGGGGCTGTTCTGCGCAGTCTTGGGCTCTCGCGTCCGGACTAATGAGCAAGAGTCAACCCGAGTTCCTGTATTTCCGCAAAGAGACCCTTTTTGGACGTCGGCCTTCTCCCAGCAGATGGGGGGAAGTCACGTGCCGTGGACACCAAAGGTACATGGTGCAAGGGTCGTCTCCATCCACATCAAGAGCTAATACAACGGCTCAATTTCTTAGCAACCATGCAACACTCGACTCTCCCGACTCACAGCCATCGCCTCGGCCGCCTGTCCCATGTTCAGCTAAGGAGCCCTCCCGTCTCCCTTTCGCCCATGTGAAATCGCGGCCCTCGTCGATCATGTTGGTGCAAGGCCACCAGCCCTCAATCGATATCGCTAGCCGACGTCGCCAACGTTGTTAGCCTTGATGAGGCCAGGGTATATCGCCCCCGGGTCAAGTGATTGCTTGCTCTATATACCTCACTTCCTCAGACCACGCTTCGCCCCGAGGCCAGTCACATCCGCTGCGCCAGAATGCCTGGCCTGCCCTGTGCGCCCTCTCCCCCTCCCCTCTCTCGACATGTGCTGACTCACGCAAACAGCGTCGGTTGACCTCGACGAGTGCATCTCGCGTCTTTACAAAAAGGAACTGCTCGCCGAATCCGTCATCGAAGCAATATGCGCCAAGACAAAGGAGTTGCTCATGCGAGAGAGCAATGTCGTCCACGTGAAGGCGCCCATTACCGTCGTCGGCGACATCCACGGCCAGTTCTTTGATCTCATTGAAATCTTCAGGATCGGCGGCTACTGTCCCGACACCAACTACCTCTTCCTCGGTAGGCGCGCGTCCACCCCTTGGTGCAGACAAGGACAACGGGCTGACGACGTCGTCGACTCTCAGGCGACTACGTCGACCGAGGCATGTTTAGCGTCGAAACAATCTCGCTGCTTGTGTGTTTAAAGTTACGATACCCCGATCGCGTCCACCTCATTCGCGGCAACCACGAGTCGCGCGGCGTCACCCAGTCGTACGGATTCTACACTGAGTGTTCTCGCAAGTACGGCAACGCCAACGTGTGGCACTACTTCACCGACATGTTTGACTTTTTGACGCTGAGCGTGGTAATCGATAATCAAATATTCTGCGTGCACGGCGGTATGTCGGCGCGCGACTTGCCACTCGAGGTGCCACCGGCTAATCAACGCCAGGTCTGTCACCTTCCATCCACTCCATCGACCAGATCAAGATCATCGACCGGTTTCGAGAAATTCCCCACGAGGGCCCGATGGCCGACCTCGTCTGGTCCGACCCCGACCCCGAGCGCGACGAGTTCTCGCTCTCGCCACGCGGAGCGGGCTACACTTTTGGCGCGCAGGTGGTCAAGAAGTTTCTGGCCGTCAACAACATGTCGCACATTCTTCGCGCACACCAGCTCTGCCAGGAAGGCTTCCAGGTGCTGTACGACGACCGGCTCAGCACCGTGTGGAGCGCCCCCAACTACTGCTACAGGTGCGGCAACATGGCGAGCGTGCTCGAGGTGAGCGACGGAGGCGAGAGGTTCTTCAACGTATTTGCCGCCGCGCCGGAAAACGACGTGCATAAGGACCAGCAGCCGGGGAATGAAAAGGCCGCTGATGGAAATGCCCTTCCCGACTACTTTTTATAGGAAACGCGGATCGCGCGGAAAGAGCAGGGCAACAATTGTACGCTTCCGAGGTAAGGAAAGCAAGACAAGCAGGCCTGGTGTACGGGCCGTAGACGGAAAACAGCCGCATAACGCAGCTTGCGGCAATTGATGTCCTTGAAAAGGAAACGAGGAGGGACTTTGGTGTGAAATCAATTGGCAGCGGGGAGGGAAGGTTGTGCCGGACAAAACCTTCCCGCCAGCCTTTGGCCCTATAAACCTGGCAGTGCTTGCTGAAGATGAGGTATGCTCGTATTCTCATGGCACGTAACAGCCCAAGCATACGGGATGGACGGGGTGTTGTTGACCGCCGCACGCTGGAGCCCGGGGTTGGTGGAGCGTCACCAGTCCTTGGCAATGTCGAAACTCCACTCAAACTCGAGATGCTTCTTCTTGTCGTCGTCGACGAAGCTCGAGATGGCGTTGTAGTGGCCGCGGGCCAGCATGCCCGAAGGCGCCTCTTCTTCTTGGACTGCGTGGGGCTGTCAGCTTCCAGCATGGCATGGGGGGTGGGAGGGTAATGCGTATCGAGACTCGTTACATTTCTTGGTGTATGTGGTCTGCTTGTCCGTGTTGGGGGCGTAGCTTCCCTGCGCACCGTGTCAACACATGTAGGCTGGCAGCGTCTCGTGGCCCTGGCTGCTCACAATCATCTCGGAGTCCTTGGAGACCTTGATGCCCTTGCGCTTGACCACCTGGACGTAGTGCAGGCCGCTGAGGATTTCGTGCTGGACCTTGAACTGGGCGCTCATGGTGAACTTTGCGCCCTCCTTGATCTTGAAGGGGTTGTCCTTGAGCGACTTTTCGCTGCCGGGCTTGGACAGGTCGATGGTGACGGGGTCGCGACCGGGCGAGTCCATGGTGAGGGAGAGGATGATGCAGACGCGCGTGTCGCTAGGGTCGGAGATGTCCTTGCCGCCGCCCAGGCCGAGCGATTCCTTGTACCGTTGAAGAGACTCGTCGCCGGCGTCTTTGGGGGGGGGGAGGGGGATCGGTCAGCAGCAGCTCGCAATGATTTTCACATCGGTGGCTGGCAGAGGGGGGGGGGGATTGGGAGGAGGTCGAGCGACAGCGTCGAGGTTTGCCTTGAAGAGGCTGGTTGAGATGTTATGCTCTGAAAAGGAGGCCTGCCCCAGAAGCAAAAGGAAGCCAGCTCGTACCCATCTGCTGATATTCGGCCAAGCTATGCTTGGGCTGGGAGAGCTTGTAGCCCTGCGTCTCCTCGGGCATGGTGTCGTCCTCGTGGAGGGTAGCCATGGCAGGCGTGTGGGATGGGGGGTGAGGGAGTGGAATTTTCTCGACGACGAGTGAGTTCTCTTTCGCAAAGCGACGGACGGTCGGGACAAACGCGGCAAGAGGGGAGAAGGGAGTGGCCTTTGGAAAAAGGGGAGAAGGGATCACGGGCCAGGCTCGGAACAGGGGAATGGATGGCGAGTGTGGAGGGGGAGGCTGGCGGTGACGATGGAGGGGCTGGTGGGGTGTTTGGGGTTGATGCATGGGCGTGATTGGGCCGGGGGGGTTGCTGTGTCTGCGTGTCCTGTGAATATTTTCACATTTGCTCACTTGTTTTGCTGACTGACAGGCGGGACTATGGGTGCAAATACTACGTTTCGGAACAAATGGCTGTTCTGTACCGTATGGTAGGTTAGGATTGACGGGAGTCGTAAACGCTCTGTTTGCTACGTAGGTTGGAATTCATGAGCCATGTTTTCATGACCATGACCTCTCCTACCCTAGACTGCCGATGATATTCACCAGAATCATCACCGTGTCTCAGCCCTGCGACATCCGTGGTCTAGCAGCTGTGTGCACGTGTGGAAAGGCGCCGGAGCCCGTACTGTCGCCACGATGCTTCTTTTCCACGGGCTGGTGCGTCAGCTACAGCCAGCGTACGGATGAGAGGCCAGCACGCACAGTGACAGGTACTAACCTGAGTAATATCCAATTTGCAGGCACGAAATCAGGGCTTAACTTAGCTACCTGCCGACGGGTGCGCGCCAAGTGCCAAGCACTGTCAGCTAGGAGGGTACTCGCAGGCACCGCTGTTTGCCTAGCAATTGCGGGTACTGCATTATCTGGCAGCTCTCTTCTGTGCTCCAGACACCTTGGCCGGCACCTGCGGCTCAAGTACCCCCCCATCTCGGCAGTGAGGCACAGCGACCCGGTACCCACACCGCGCCCCGGCTTCCTACCTCCAAGCTGGTAGCGCGCACGCGCTCCCTCACGTCCTCTCTTCCTCCCTCGTCCCCTTCTCTTAGTAATTCGCGCCGTTCTTCCCTCCCCCGCGCTCCTTTGCACCTCGACGCAATTCATCCCAACCCGGCCAGCTTCCTCGCTCGCAGGCTGGGCGAAGCAACCGTTCGACCAGCCAACCAACCACACCAGCAGGCTTATTATTTCGCTCACCCGTCGCTGTCTCCCACCGTCTCGACTGCCTCTCCTTTGCATGAGCCTGATGCGTGCCGTTTCGTCCACGTAGCCCTTGGTCCCTCCCCGGTACGTCGTCGCTGGTCCTCTTTTGCGCGCAAGGCTGACCTCTGCTGCAGACTCGCGTCCGTCATCGTCGCGCGCCTCGCATTCATCTCGAGCATCGCTGCCTGTACCACGTAGCTCGCCCTCTCTTCCCGCTCACGCCTCGACCCCATTGCGCCGCGCCCTGTCACAACGGACCACCATGTCGCCTGCGAATGGGAGAAGCCTGCCCTCGCGCGCCAATCCGCTCATGCTCGAGCATGTCCCCGAGCGTAATCATCCCCAACCCCACCCACTGGCGCCTTGCAGCCAATCAACCCCTCTTATTCTGCAGCAACGAGGCTGACCACTGCCAAAACAGATGCCGAGCTCGTCGCGCGCCGACGTCTGGGCCAGACTAAGCTGACTTCCAAGATGGTCGGCGGAGACGAGGCCGAGTCCGGCACACTTGGTGCCTTCGACTACGCCCATCTCCGCGCGCCCCTCCCCAAGGGCATCGTCTCGGGCATCTTCAAGTCGAGCCCGACCAGCTACTTCTTGATGCGACGCAGCTTCGATGGCTACGTCTCGGCCACCGGAATGTTCAAGGCTACCTTTCCCTATGCCGAGGCTGCCGAAGAAGAGGTCGAGCGCAAATACATCAAGTCGCTCCCGACCACGAGTCCCGAGGAGACTGCTGGTAACATTTGGATTCCCCCGGAGCAGGCCCTCGCCCTCGCCGAAGAATATGACATTGGGCCCTGGATCCGCGCCTTGCTTGACCCCACCAAGATCTCCGTCTCGACCGCCTCGGATTCGCCGCCCAAGAACATCACGGCGCCTCCCAAGTTCGACCCACTCAAGGCGCCCAGGCAATTCGTCCCGCTTACGCCCTCGTCCCTTCCCCGGAGCACCCGGGCACGCCGGTCAGCAAGTCCCGTCAAGGCCACCGCCAAGCGCGCCGTCGCGTCGCCCCGCAAGCGCAGCACCAAGGCCAAGGTCGAGGCCACCGAGACAACCGTCAATGGCGAGGCCAAGAAGAGCAAGCAGGAGGGCTTCGTCATGAAGACGTCGGCGTTTGAGCCCGCCGTGGTCCTCGAGCCCAGGGAGGAGGACCCCAAGGTCAAAGTCCAGGTTGACGAGGAGGTCATTACGGACGTGAACGGCTTCGAGACGAAGCACACCGTCACCCAGGTCGACATCCCCCTGCCGACCGCGGGCGAGCCGCCCAGCCCCGAGGAAGTCGCCAAGATGATGGACGCCGCCAAGGAGATGGTCAAGCAGGACAGAGAAGCGGCGGACAAGGCGGCCCAGGTTCAAGACGTGCAAGATGAGCAGGCCAAGCCCGAGACGGTGACCCCGACGGCCAAGAAGTCCAAACGAAAGGCGGGCGATATTTCTGTCTCCGAGAAGAGCCCGGGAAGCAAGGCAGACGCAGACGAAGAGACGGAGGAGGGGCAGGTTCGCGCAAAGAGGGCCAAGACCGAGGTGGAGCGGCAAAGAAACAGGGTCAAGAACAGGGCTCTCTTCGGCCTCAGTGCTACCGTTGCGGTGGGGTGAGTGGAAGCGATGCTGAACCGACGTGGCGCAGAAGCTGACAGATTGAGCGCAGAGCTTTAGTTCCCTGGCTCGTCAACCTGCTATAACGGAAGCCCGCGGAACGCAAGGCGCGACATGCTGTGGCGGAACCGTTTCACGGTCGCAGCGGTGGCGCCAAGGACAGCCAGCGCCGTGCACGGCGTCCTGTTTTGTGTGAGCATCGCTTGTGCCTCACCAGATGCGAATACCCTTTTCTTTTCTGGCCGAGCCTCAGCCTTGGCAATTTGGACATGAATATCTTTGCGCGCCAAAGACTGGGCCGCCCTCTTGATGGCTGGTGGCTCGCGCTAGGTTCGGACGTTGGGGTGCGAGGTTGCCGACAAGTCGCCCCGTCTTGGAGATGAACGATTCTCCCACTTTCACTTTGTTATTACTTATCTTATCTTGGAGTCGCTCTCTGTGTAGAATACAGGTGATTGGTGTGTGCGTGAACGTGGACGATGAGCGATGAGGGTGCTAGAGATTGTGGCATGAGGGGTCTGGGGGAGCGGAGGACGAGGTTAGGCAGGGGCAGCATCTACTGTAATGAAACGAGGAAAACACATGCATTCAGCAGTTGTTTTGGGCATAGATGGAGCTGTCCGTTGTTTTGGCAGTGCGCTCCAGAGCTGACATGCTCTCTTCCCGTTTATATAAAGACGTCTGCTTCGCCGTTCCCTTCCTTTGTTCGTTGCGACCTGGCTCTCAGAACCCAAGCATGGTCTCATCTTGGTGACGAACTACGGCAAAAAGCGACACAAAATGGCCGGAGACAGATAGGCCGCAGGGTTGCCTATACCAGATGACGGCTGCTTTCGGCGTCGGCGAGTCGGACGAGATGGAGTCCGCCCATGGTGTACTGCGGGAGCAGGACGAATGTCGAGCAGGAGCCCTGCCCCCTGGACCGTCGCAAGCGCAGCGTATACCGCTGGAGAGTGTCCCAGTTTACTGGCAAGGGGAGCGCTTCCGTCTTCTTCCAGTTTAGGAGAGAGACGGCGTCAATCGCGTCACATTGGGCAGGCATGGTCAGATCTGAATAGTGGAAGTCATGTGTAGGAACCCGGAAGGGGAATTACCCAACTGAGCCCCTTACGCAGTTATATCGTTAAACGCTTCTACTTTACTCATATATACATATATAAACATATGCATCTTGAAGCGCCTCTTTTGAACGTATCTACTTGATCTTTATACTATTTCCGTAAGAGGCAGGCCGCAGAACCATTGTTCTCAAAGGAGCATTGTATGGGATGCTGTGTATCCATCGCGTTAGCCATAATAGTGCATCCGTCGTTGCAGCTGTGATAAGCGTCGTATGCCGGATGGGTCTTCGTGAGGCAACGAAAATCGCGGACCTGGGTCCAAGGCTCCTACAGGGTTTAGGAAAATAAAAATGCAGGGGTGCCCATGAGCAGAAAATTCGGCGTTTAGGAAAGGAAATTAAGATTCACGCGGATAGGAGTCAGGGATCTATTGCTAAACAATGCCAAGAGTATTGTTAGGGATGCTTGGTGTCAGTCAGACCTATCGTGATTTGCGATGAATACAGAGTACTGCTCGTTATATCTGTCAGACGCCCCCCGTGACCCTGAACAGTAGCAAATAGTGCTGTCCGACTGGTGGGATGTAAAAGCCTGTCTTTATATCTATCTGGGCCTCAGGCCTATCTTTTGTATAGACAGGTCTGACGTTGCTAGCTACGTGGTGTAGAGGGGGTTGCCAAGTCTCCTGGACCCTTGTAGGTTCTGGCTTGTACCTTGGTAGGTTTGGCATCCATCCTGTAACAAGTATAAGCTGAGGCTCCTATAAAAACGAAAAGAATTGAGCCCGTTAACATAGGCTGACTCGGGCGGGACTCGGGGACATTACTTCCCTGGTATAACCGGGTAGTCTATGCTCCGTAAACCCTTTATAGACCCGCCGTGCTAAGACGTAACTAATTTCATGAGTTTTGACGTTACCTACATATCGCCAAGAGGGACATGCGAAGAATAACAAGCCATAAAGTAGAGGATGAGGCAATTCTGAGTTATCCTAACAATGTAAAAGCTCTTTACAATCGGTTCTAGCCAAAGTAAGGGATTATAGACACAGATGGGCAAGCCCAAAGCTCTATGGTATTGACCGTGCAGCACTTGGGCCATTTGTTGCCCTGGATGGTCGATAATCACAGCGGCATTATTGGATCAGCTCAAGCGTGGCTGGCGACGCTACTTCACGTGAGGCATTAATGTGCCATGTCTTGGTATCGTCAGTCTGAGAGGAACTAAAGCAAACCTTGGGCTGTAGCTCCGCGGGTACGAGGTTTTTGAGACTTGGCTTCGTAGAGCAATTCCAGTTATAAAGCGACCTCTTCTTACCAAGGAGATGGAAATCGTTGACAGAAGCCAACCACGAGGCACGAGGTCTTGAAGGTCATACCAACTCGGCTGAACCTCGACGTTTTCACCCGGTTTAGCAGCCATGATGCACCGGCGCTGGGCCATTTTGGCCTTATCGTTTTCCATATGCTCGGTGCTGTGGCCCGGAACCACCAATGCAACTCCAACGCCAACGTCATCGCCATCAGCACTAAGATTCACACAGTCCATGCAAGGCCACGCAGTCGTATACGCGACCTTTGCTCATAGTAATACGACTACGCCGGCATATTCCCAAAGCCAAGGCGGAATTGTTCGAGAGGACAACAACCCTCAAAACGACGCGGCATGGGGCTACTTCACAATGCAAGAAACCCTGCCCGTGGCTGCTTGGTCCTTTGTGAGCCCCCGGCTTGACAGACCGTTGATCAACGGACTTGGTTGAGACACGTGGGTATATAGAATTGCCACGTCACCAAACATGATTACTATCCAACCGGGCCCTTTGCCCCTTGTGGCTCTGGGAGGTATATTTTGGTCGCAAGTACAGGCGTATGCTCCTCGCACCGGTGACGAGACTGGCCCGGACGACTATGACCGGCAACCCAATCCAGTCTATGACAGGAGGTGGGAGAATTATGGCGCCGGTAACCAGCAGCCATTGCTCTCCGGCCGAGAACGACCGGAGGGCACGACATCGCGCCGCCTAGCTCGAGACTTTATGAATGAGCTCACGAGCCCACACAACACCCTTCTGGATAACGACCGACGCCAAACTCTCCGACAACTGCTTGATAGGAGCCCCGACACAGAACCCGATCGCGACTTTCCTTTGATCCGTCTCAGCCAACGTAAGCATCGATGCAGTCGGCTCATGGATTGGCGGTAACCGTCGCAGCTCAAACTTTGGAAAGCTTAGCATTGCAGCACATCGACTGGTCTACCGTGAGCATTCCGCCCCGACTACAGCTGCTGCTGGCAGGGGACCTTGTCACAGCGGCCATGTGTGCAGAAGCAGTCTTGCAGGTAGACAAGTTTGTGAAGCCGAACCGCGACAGGCGGGCGATGCAAGCCGACTGCGAAAAACTGCTTGCAAAGATTGGCAAGGCGCCGCCCTGCGCGAAACTCAAGAACCTTGAGTTCGGCTTCAAATTATCCAACGATTACTGGTCTGGAACCTACGATAGGATAGGAGCCACTCTGGATGGGCCGGCTGGAAAGGCTGTCCTGGCCATCAAAGACGAGCCCTCGCCTGGATTTGAGGCCTCGATACCGGTGGATATGCAACGATCCTTCGGTTCGGACACGATCGACATCGACGGTATCTCAAGGATCCATCTTACCGCCCAGGGAATTTTCTGGAAGTGGCGTAACGAGCGAAACGACAAGTGGCAGGTTCAAGGTATGAGAATCGAAAGGGGACGCTCTACCGAGGCTAACCTGGTGGTCTTGACACAGACATTACTCTACGCGCAACCTGCGCTGAACCGGGGTTCGAATTCAAAAACGATAAGCTCATCGCGCTGAATGCGTGGTACGGACATCCAGGCGGCTGGTTCTTCGAGCCGTTCGAAGAGAAGACTGTTGCAACCTTCAACGTCACTCCAGGGGATTGGCATATGACACCTCCATGCGCCAACATCAAGGGCCTGGAGTATGAGTTCAAATTGGGAAATGAGCTCGGGGCCGGAACCTGGGATTCGTTATCATTCACGCTCGGTCAGGGCAAGGAAATCAGCCTCGCGAATAGCGTGAGTGGAGGATTTTCTAAGACGAATCGTATCAACCTCAGGGACGTCTTTGGCTCAGAGCAGGTTGACATACGTGACATTAAGAACATCTCTCTCCTCGATAGGGCTGGAAGAGGAGATGGGTGGCTGTTTGAAGGTATGTACTCGTTCAACTTGCGATTTCAAAGGCCACATTCTTACCTCGAGCGTTTCATTGCCAGGAATTTCATTCACCGCAAGCTGCGCAGATGTGCCAAAGAAGATGCGTCTGAGCAAATTTGCATCGGTGGACAAATGGCTCTAGCGTGAAGCGTCCAAGGAAAAGGTCTGGTCCGACAATATCAATGTTGAGGACTGGCACGAAGTGCATGAAGACGAGACTTGTTCATTCCAGGGGGAGCGAGCTCGGGGCGAGCACAATCAGGGAGGAGGTCACTCGGTTTGCTTGGCAAGTTTTACCTCTGTGTGTAGCGGAAACAACGCTGCGTGTGCCACTGGAGATTTCTAGTGTAGGTGAGGTTGTGTGGTCGTCTGCCCGACCCAACCGCTACTCAGGCACTGCAGGCTAGGAACGTGGCTGAGCAAGTGAATTCCTCATGTCGAGATTCGTGTTGTGTATTGAGCTGTTACCCAGACATATATCCAATACGCAGTTTGGCGGCGCCCATGCCTCAAGTCAGCTACGCCACGACGCTGCAACGCCGCTATGATACGACCTCGGCCAGTTTGCCTCGCACCGGTACATTCGCTGCCCTTCCAACGGTGGGAAAGCCCTTGAGCTTGACCTCCTTGCGGAACAGCAGACAGTGGCTGGAGCCGCCAAAGTGGAACATGCCAATCTCGTCGCCCTTGCCGACATGCTGGCCCTCTGCGACGGTGATCTCGCAGGTGCTAACCTCGTCCATGCCGATGCCCACAAAGGCGACGAGGCCAATGGCCGGGCTATCCGCCTCGAAGATGATGATGGCCCTGGTCGCCAGCGCGGAGAGATAGCCCTGGGCAACCGAGATGCCCCGACGATCAATGTCCTTGACGGAGGGATCGCCGACGCCCTCAAAGAGCGGCTCGCTGAAGTAGGTGCCGTCGACGACGCGCGCGCGGCGCACGGTGCCGGCGACGGGGGCGTGCCAGCGGTGGTAGGAGAGGGCGGAGAGGAAGGCCTGGTAGACGGTGCCGCCGGCGAAGCGCGGGGCGAGGGCGTCGTGGGCGAGCATGTCGAGGACCGAGTAGGGCTGGCCCTTGTTGAAGAAGGTGTCGCGCAGCTTGACGCCGTGCGCGATGTTGAAGACCTTGGACTCGCAGGCGTTGGCGATGACGGCGTCGTCGTCGGGGGAGGCGACAGGGCGGGCGTTTTCGGTGATTTGGCGGGTGAAGAAGGCTGTTTCCCCCCTGGTTAGATGACGGGGGAAGAAGGGGGAGAGAGAAGGAAGGCAACGGGGTATCGAGTGTCACGCCCCGGCCCCCCGCGAGACTCACCATCCCACGACTTGAAGCCGTAGCGCTTGGCCGACGGGTCGCAGACGTACATGTCCTCAAACTTCATGGCCGACTGGTAGGGGGCATTGGCCACCTGCATGAGGTCGCTGATGCCCGTGGGGCCGAACCAGCCCAGCTTGTGGTCGTCGAGGACCGCTGCCGACTCGGGCGTCTGCGAGGCGTCACGATGAGTCGTCGACGGGGGGTGGTGGTAGAGGAAAGGGGGGAGGACGGACCTGGAGGAATTTGCCCCATTCGTTGAGCACCTTTTTCAGAGCCCTGTTGACGTCTGGGTCGAGGAAGGCGGCGTGGCCACTGCGATGTGGTTGAGTTGGCATCATCATTCGGAATCATGACTATTCGGCGCCATCACCACCATCACCGCCATCACCGCCATCACCGCCATCATCACCATCACCACCAGCGTCTCTCCGGAATCAAACGCACCTCGGAGTCGCCATCGGGTAGTCCAGCAGGCTGCAAAACGGAACGCCCACGACGCCCACGCTCTCGGCCGCGTCGGTCCACTCGGGCGCCCGCGTGACGATGTGGTTCAGCACCTGCAGCAGCTGGCCGTAGTCGCGGATCTGGCGCGAGCCCGTCGGGTCGCGCAGGTACGGCTGCCTGCGGGGGATCTCGTCAAACATCTGCACAAAGTACATGTAGATGCGCGGCGTGCCCTCGATGAGCGCGCGCAGCTCCTCGAGCGCCGGCGTCAGGGCCTGCGGCGGGTGGGCGTCGACGTGCTCGGTCACGCGCCGGAGGAATTCGCGGTGCACGCGGTGGTCTGCGGGGAGCCATGCGCCTGGCCTGGAGACGATTGGATTTGTTAACTTGGCTGGTAGGTGGGAGAGAGAGAGAGAGAGAGAGCCTCACTTGTTGACCCGATAGTGAGGCGGAATGTCGTGCTCGTCGCCGTGCTGGTGGACCATGATGACCTTGACCCTGTGCCTGACCTCGCAAGAATACAGATGGGGAGACTATGGAGGAGACTGATGGAGGAGGCTGATGGAGGAGGCTGATGGAGGCATTTCTCATACACCTCGTGTCTTTATTTCCCCCTCAATCCAAGCAAGTCGGCCTCGACCACGGAAGACTCGGCACGGTGCCGGTGATGCGTCCATGATGTAACCGAGCTAGACATGCAGAGACGCATATAATGGCGCATGGAGATGGCGAGGAATACCGCGTCGTCGGCAGTAGTTGCCGGCGGGTATTGGACGGACCCGATCCTGCCGGCACACGCCTCACTACCCACTTGGAGCATTAAGTCGCATCCCGGTTTTCTGTATGCAAATTCTGGTCTGCCGGGAGACGCCTGGGCAAGGTTCGATGGAGAAGAGGCCTGGTGGTCCAAGTAGGGACGATTCCATCTAGACGACTGATAACAATCCCGTTTTTTAACACTAACACTAGATGTTGTGAAGGGATCAAATTATCCAGTGCCCATATATATACAACCTAGATTATACGGCATGTGTATGTTTAGCAGTACTTATACTGTATATCCAAATATCCGCAACTAGCGATGACTTTTTGGCACTCCCTAACAATCCCTTCGAATACAAACTTAGTCCCAGTAAAGAGAAGAGCTCTTTCCCTATTATTGAAATAAATACACGCCGAAGAAGACCTCTCTATAAGCCTTTGTAACGGCGGAAATAAAGAACTCAGCTAGGACCTTTTCCCTTGGGGAACTGCAAAAATTTGGTCCCGCTGGGGCTCGAACCCAGGATCTTGAGGTTGCCAACATATTAAGCCACTAGTGGCTGACCGCTCTTCTTAATTTATTAGTCTCACGCTTTACCAACTAAGCCACAGGACCAGTTGCTTTTGTTGAAATCGAAAGAATTTATTATATTATATACACTTCTCGCACAGGATCGCTAGAAGCCGACCTCACTCTACGAAGTAAGGTAGGTATGTATAGAGAAGGGAGAAGGGTATCTGCTCCCTAGCACTAAGAAGGAATCGGTCTACTAACAAACCCGAAACTATTAGTTAAATAAAGTCCCGTTTATATAACAGGCGCTGTATAGAAGTAACAAATCAGGAACGGCAGGAGTAGCTAGCTTCCAGCTATATAAAGGCACGGGCGTTAAATTATACCATACTATCGCTGTACTGCTTTTAGCTTTCAACCTATAGGATTCTGTCTTAATAGCAAAGAAACTGTTAATATAGTATATGATAGATATCAAAGAATGCATAGGATTCCTTGTCCTCGAGTGGTCTGGCGGCATTGAGGTCCGGAGAACGACATTTCCCCCCTCTTCCTAGTGCACGACCGAACTGCTGGTTGCTGGACCAAGCCTTCTTATCTGTGGTTAATTGACAAACTGTCAGACCTTATAACACGCGGAGGGTGCCCCTAGTTTGCAAGCTCGACAGTGGTTTGCGCGGGCCACGGCAGCAGCCATGGCATCTGCCTTGATCTAGGTACCTAAACCCGTGCACCTCAGCTCCGAGACAGCTCCCCGCTGGTGTCTCATCCACGCTTCGGCGACCAGCCTCATCCCTCTCCAACGCTGCCACCACGGAAGGAGCCCAGCGTAAACGCACCCTAAACCAGCCCAGCTCCGCAGAGTCCGTTAACCTCCGCCAGTTTCCATCATCAAAGCTTAGATGCATGCTGGGAGCTAGAGGCCTAGAAATAGAAGCAAGGACGCCATGTTTTATATAACAGCAATGGCGTAGATTATTTCTTAGCATGCATACGACTCTTTCTACAAGTCTTCGCCTAATGCCGGGGATAGGAAGGGAAATAGCATATATGCGGAGAGTCGCATGCTCCCCTGAGAAGTAGCCTCGTCAACGCCACTACTTTCTATCCAGGTTGCCCGAGCCCCGGCCTTGCACTCGGCCAGAGATGGGGACAGAGGCAACAGACACTCGTCGCGGTCTTTCTACAGTCACACTAGGGTATACGTCATGCCAAAAGTTCTTCCAAAGTGCCTTTTGAGAATAATCTGGTCTACAATTCCCTGTAGTAACCGTGGCGCAGAGCGCGCACTCCTGACTGCCATCTTGACGAGCCCTAGCAACGCTGGCCGGCCGTAGATTTGAGCTGCAAATCAAAGCCGCATTCGAGGCCGGCGGCGATGCAAAAGTGTGTAGGCAGAGGGGCATCTTCAGGGTCATAGAAACCGCACTTCTTTCAATTTAAGCTATGGACACGGCCGGTAGCTACAAGAGACCCTCATTAGCCAAGTCTTGCTGTACGCCCTTCTTGTAAGACAGTGTAGACAGCGTAGCGCAATGGCCCTCTAGGGGATCCCCCCGGGATGTAGTAAAGTCCCTAATAAAGTCTCTAAGAAATACGCCTGAGAACACAAAGTCTTTCGAACCAGCCCGGTCCTTTCAACTTCTATTGATGCGGAGTGCCGACAGAGACCGCTGCGTCGCCTAAAATTTCTTGCCCTTTTCGCACAGGTCCTTGAGGACCTTGGTGACAGTGCCTTGGTTGATGGGGTGGACATGGTCAGTATGAGTCCCATTATGACGTGGCAAGGGGCATAAAAAGAGTCACAAGCTGTACTTACCGACAGTGGAATTTTCAATGCCACACTTCTTGATATCTCTTTCGCTTTCCTTGGCGATGGTCTCGATGTTACCGCACAGGGTATCCAAAGGGCCCTTGCCGTCGCACTTGAGGCCGTTGGCAGACTTGATGATGGCAGGGGCGACGCACTTGGCCTTCTTCAGCAACGGCTTGAGACCGCCGAGAAGCTTGCCAATGTCGAGGCCGGGGGTGGCGTTGTTCTGCAAGAACTCGGTCATCTCGGCATCGCTGGCAGCAGCGACATACTCGGAGCTGGCGTAGGCGACGCTGGCGAGGGCAAGAGTGACGATGGAGAACTTCATTGTGAAGAATGTGAAGGGTTTCTTTTCGAGTAGTTGAATTAAGTTGAAGAATAGAAAGTTGGAGAGACTGTTGTTGTTATGCGTTGGAACTGAGTAAAGTGATGGTGAGAGAATGGATCGTTGGAAGTCTGAAAGTCAGGATGTCTTTATACCTCTCGAGAGCAGAGGAAGCGCCTCAATGCAGACTGCGGAGGTTGAGAATTCCTCAGTCCTTGAATGGTCACTGGTCTCAGGAGAGGAGATGGGAGTTTCAGAGCCGCGTCCTAGACACCTCGGCATACATTTCCTGGTCTTTTTGCCCGCCTCTTTATGATCATGGAGCCTAGAATGTTTTAGACATGGGTTCAATGTTGGGGGCAGGCAAGTGGATCACAGACAATCACTTCGCCGTCGCCCTCTTTAACGGGCTTGGAGAACTGTCGAAAAACAATCAATGGCGTGTCGCAATGCTGACCACGTCGCTAGGCCAAAGCGAATAGAGCTTAGCTACAGAAGTACCCGCGACATAATGATACGGGGAAACGCTAAGTAAACGCTAGAGGCATAGATTTCCTTTGTTCAGATAGATATATGCGGCTCTTCTAGAGCCAAAACCAGGATTCCTTCTCCGAGGCAGAGGCCCTGCCGCGTCTAGAGCTTCAACTTGCGTATGCGTAGCCAATTCAATGAGGCCAAACCGGGAGACCGAGGGAGGGAAATTGCAGAGGTAGGTACGTTTACAGAAGACTGGAACTGGAGGGCGTGGTCTGAGTCGCGTCATTTTCGCTTCCACAACAATCGAAAGAACGGGCTGATAAGAAACCTCCCATCCTTTTTGCCCATGTACATGTAATTACACACTGACTCTTTGCCGGCACGCTTTTCGTCCGAAACTTCATCAACATACCTGCCTACCTACCCTTCTGGCCGCCATGTCTTACCCCGTGTCGGCAGCTGCCAGGAACAATTTGGCCCCTCGCAGCTCCGGAATCACCGGGGGGCTGGTATCCTAGGTCGACTGTTAGCCAACTGGTATGGACGCGAGATGAGAGAGCAAAGAAAGATCTGTGGATGAACGCCTGACGGCTGAGCTCCCCGATGGCGATCCAGGGTCAATGATATTTCGACCCCATGGTCAATACACCATTGCCGCCGCTGGCACCCGTAGGAATCCACAAGAGCCATGCGCGGTCAATTCAAGGGGACGGGAACTTGCCAGAGACCAAAATCTCCCTCGATAACAAGGGTTCAATGCAAATGTCCACTGCTGGCATGAAGGGGTCTATTTCAATCCGATGCCATTGACTCACGGTCACTTTGTCCGGACGGAATCTTTGATTCCAAGTCCCACCAGAACCGGAGAACTGACGAGCTATATACATCAAGAATTGAGACAGCAGCCACTTTTACCTTCACATAACTGGGTTGCATGTAGAACTTGGCATGAGTCTGCGAACTTTGCTACCAAGCCAACCCCCACTTCTAGCCGCCCTTTTCAACACGAGGATTACTATTCGGCCAAGTGCAATCTCCATTTGGCCACCAGCCAAAAGGTAGGGTAGGTCTCGCTCTGATTCCTTATATGTACTATCATTTTCTTTTTGCCTCAATAGTAAAAACAAACAAAAGATGAGATAGTTCTAATTGCGAAGTAGCTTACTCAAATGCCCGAGCCAGTAGGGGAGGGTCCCTCTTGGGGAGGACTCCTACTGAGGGGGGGTTTACCTCCGCGCGTGCTGAGCGCGACGTACAAGACGAGACCTCGGAACGACTGGTAAGATACTTCGACTCAGTGCTGATTACTATCTAGTATAACGCATCAACTAATTAAAATAGGAATTTGGTTAGCCGGATAGAGATTTGCACTTGGCTGAATAGTGATGCTCTCTAGCACCTACGCGTCGACTTATATAATGTATTGCAGCCGTATTTTCGTATGCATCCTCTACTTTTAAATTAATAAAAACAACATAATCTCCCCATATTGAACTTACATCTATGGGTGGCCTCTCTATAACTCCTATAACTCCCCCTATAACGCCTCATCTTAGAGCAATCGTATGTTGTAGCGGCAGGCCAAAGGGGGGAAGGGTTTGTTTAAAGCGGAAGGCGGTTGGGGAGGGGAAATCTGGAACGGCCGACCTTACTTATATGGCCTTTTCCCCCCACACTAACTAACGACCTACTCAATATATAATACTCAATATCTAAAGCCGGGTTAAGTGAGAAGATGCAGGAGCAGACTTGGCATTAGAATCCGAACATCAAGATATAAAGACGTAAAAGCACATCTCACGCATTTCCTAGGGGCGCCACGAGAAGATAATTTCATCTAGTGTCCTTAATATAGCGCTAAACATATGACATAGTGCTAATTAGAAAATAAAATACGAACGGCGGTAGTGGGTAAGTGTTGGTCTGGGGCATTGCATGACATTTTCGGGCTCTTCATAGAACCCATCCACTTTCAAGGATCTAACCTTGTTCGTTGTTTCCCCCTTAAGCCCATCTTCCGGCGACAGCCTCTTGAGAGCATCTTCACCGGTGGAGATGGCCTTTTCAAGATCCTTATGAGAACCCATCTCGGCAAACCTAGCAGCGTAGCAGGAGCACAGTAGGTCGAGCAGGACCGCCTTGTCCGGATGGTCGGGCCAAGGCCGCATGGCCGACATGGCTTCCTCGCCTGCCGAGATGGCCTGTTTCAATATCTTGACGTCGTTTTCAGCACGATACTTCCTGAAGCAAAAGTCGCAGAGTAGGTGAAGAGAGCGTGTCCGGGCAGGGTCTGCAGGACACAAGAGCTTGACGAGTTCCTCGCGTGCTACGATGCACTCGTCAAGATGCGCCAGGTCTTTCGACACGTAGTATCTCAAGTCGCCCATGTCGCTCATAGTGCATAAACGCTCTTCCCACTGCAGCTGAATAGACTGCGCCTTCTGGGCCGCCTTCATTGACATGTCCACTGCCTGGCTAATGTCATCTAGGGATTGAGTCTGCCGGGCTTTTGCGGCCCAGCATCGGGTAAGGGCGTCGAGGCCATCCAAGTCTTCAGGCTCGTCTTGGAAGCCCCCATGCGTAGAGGCAAAGGCCTGTTCGAGATCCTCGGTTTCCTTGGTTGCCTCGTACTTGGCCAGGTGGCAGGCGCTGAGATAGATAAACCCCCACTCCGGCATCTCTGTCGGCCCTGCTTCCAGCCCGGCTTGTAGACAGTATTCAATGGCCCTGTTGATGTCTTCTGCATTCTGGGATTCCCTAAACCTGATGGTAAGGAATTCGCAGAACGTGAGCATACTGGTCATTCGAAACGGCTGGCCTGATGATGTGATGGTGACGGCCTCGTTGTATGCCTTGGCTGCCCTCTCCAGATCCTCCGCCGTCTTCTCCCTTTGATACCGTTTCATGAGGAGATCTCCAAACGTGACCAACATGATGGGTCGGTCACGATGTCCCGGCGGTGCCAATGCAAACGACTCCTCGTAGGCCTTGAGTGAGTCTGCAAACACCTCAGCCGAGCCGGTTCGTTCGTACAAGAAGCCGCTCCAATACCCTCTGCGCATGAGAACCATGGCGCGGTCTGGGTGGTCGTGCGGCGTCGCATCGACTGCCTGTCCCAGAAGGCGAACCGCCATGCTGATTTCTCTAAGCTTCCCAGACTTGAGAAACAGCCGCGCTCCGCACTCGCCCTGACTACCCAGCCTCTCGGCTTTGGACGAGTTGCTGCCCATGATGGCTCCACTGGAGTTGGTTTTTTCAAATGGAAATGGAGTCGTCGTGTTGGAGCGGAGAGCCTGGGAGACCAAGCAAGCAGGGGATATGACTCCTTAGCTACGAAGTCCAGACTCACAAAGCCTAGAGGTTAGTCACAGATATAATCCACCTCATCCCGGAACGTCTCCTGCAGCACGAGTGGGCAGCTCTATTACTGGTTCGTGCTCTTCAATGAGAGAGCTTCGAGCGTCACGGTCTAGTCTCTTCAGCCAGCTAGGACCTTCAGCTTTTGTCTCAAACCCTGTCAGCTGAGCATGACAGCTGCAGCGGCTAGTTTTGTCGTTGGGCAACAACCCCCATGTCGATAGGCACAAACGCCTGCAGTTTGATATTTACATTTTCCATCGTGTTCGAAGGCAGAGGAAGAGCAACAACACTGAGAAACACAAGCTCTACGATACAGCATGGGCACCTACTTTGTCCCGGGCGTTGCACCTCTTCGTGAGGCGCTCCAGCTTGCGTCTATGATCCCAAACCTCCGGCAGGCAGAGCAGGATGCATTCCCAAACCCGAGGCATAAGGCCGGTGAAGACTATCCCGAGTTAATCGAGCGCTTGGATTACTGGGTCCAGCCGCAAGGGAATCTGGGCAAGCTTCTGGAGGAGTCCACCGACAACGCCTTCAAAGCGCACCTCACTAAGATGCTGTCGACCTCGTTTGGAAAAGATTCGTCCAGCACCAAGTGGCTCGGGCCATGCGAGGTGCGGAAATACGGACTCATCAACCCTAAGCTTTTGTTCAAAGACCTCGTCAAGCGCGACTCGGTGCGACTTAAGGAAAAGGTAAGAGGAAAATAAGCTCTTAGCTATAAGTAGGTCTTAATCTATAAGACTAATAAATATAGCTTCCTTTAAAAGTATAAAGCTTAGATAGTTATTTATAGGAATTAATAGGAAAAGGGAGATTTACTTATTAAAGTAACTACCTTAATAAAGATATCTTTTTAGACTATTATAGCTATAGTAATAGAATTCTTATAAAGAGAGATAAGAAAAGTATATATAAAATATATAAAAGTAAAATTAAAAGTAAGAGGTTAAATAAGTAAGGTAAAGATATTTAATTTTTATAAGAGTAGTAATTATAGTAAAGGAGTAATTATTATATTAATTTAATTATCTTTCTTTCTTTTATATAACGCCCTTCTTTATACTTATTTAATATCTTAATTAATAAAATAGATCTTACTTAAAAAAGCTATTAATATCCTCTTAACTACTAAGCTTTTTATTAGTTTTTCCTTTTCTTTCTAGCTATTACTAGTATATTTATCTTATCTCTCGCTACCTTTATAAGAAGCTATCGCTACTTTTACTTTCCCTTTAACCTTTACCCTCTTTCTTTTAGCTCCTTTTTTAACTAGTTTTTTAGCTTCCTAAGTCCCTTTTATTAAAGGATATCTTTAAGAACTATATATTTAAGCTATAATTTATAATATACCCCCTTAGCTATAGCTTACCCTTATAGTAAGGGTATAGCTAATATAGCTTTAGGCTAGTAAGTATATAAAGGAAGTTCTTAGCTATATACTTATCTCTTTACTTATAGAAAGTAAGAGCTCTTTTAAGTCCCTAGGCTCTTTTAAACTTACTTAAGGAATAAGGGCTTAAAGAAGGAAAAGTCTTATAAGAAAGAGGGCCTTCTTAAAAGAAAGAAACTTAATTAAAATAAGGGGCCTTTTAAAAAGAAGACCTTATCCTTTTCTTTAGTAATAAATATTACCTTTTTATATAAGCTATTAGCCTTTCTTATAGACTCTTAAAGTAGGCCTTTAAAGATAGCTTCTTATAAACGTCCTTTAGATTAATTTACTATAAAATAGTAGCTAGCTTTTACTTTAATAAAAGCTTTATAAAACTATTAGCTTTTATTATTATAATTAAAATTTTTATAAATAAAAATAAGTCCCTCTTAGACTTTTAAGTATAACTCTCGCGAAGAGAAATATGAGAAGTATATAAAAGTATATAAAGGTAAAATTAAAAGTAAGGGGTTAAATAAGTAGGGTAGAGAGATTTAATTCTTACGTAGGTAGTAATTAAGGTAAGGGATTAATTATTATATTTCCTTAATTCTTTTTCTTTCCTTTATCTAACGCCCCTCTTTATACCTATCTAGTATCTTAATTAATAAAGAAGATCCTACTTAAAGAAACTATTAATATCCTTTTAACTACTAAGCTTTTTATTAGTTTTTCCCCTCTTTCTAGCCGTTACCGGTATATCCGTCTTATCTTTCGCTACCTCTATAAAAAGCTATCGCTACTTTTTCTTCCCTTTATACCCCTACCCTCCTTTCTATACCTTTTTTTAGCTCCTTCTTCCTTCTTCTATACTAAGTATTTTTAGCTTCCTTAGTCTATCTTACTAAGGGATATCTCTAAGAACTATAAAATTAAGCTACGCTTCGCGATATACCCCCTTAGCTATAGCCTGCCTTTATAGTAAGGGTATAGCTAATATGGCTTTAGGCTAGTAAGCGTATAGAGGAGGTTCTTAGCTTTATACTTCTCCCTTTACTTAAGGAAAGCAAGGGCCCTTTTAGGTCCCTAGGCTCTTTTAGACCTACTTTAGGAAATAGGGGCCTAAAGAGGGGAAAGTCCTATAAGAAAGGGGGCCTTCTTTAAAGGGAAAAACCTAATTAAAATAAGGGGCCCTTTAAAGAGAAAAGCCTCTTCCTTTTCTTTAGCTATAGATATTACTTTCTTATACGTACTATTAGCTCCTCTTATAAACTCTTAAGGCGGGCCTCTAATAATAGCTTTTCTTAAACGTCTTCTAGCTTAATTTACTATAATAAGATAGCTAGCTTTTACTTTAGTAAGGGCTTTATAAGACTATTAGCTTTTATTAATACTATTAGAACCTAATAGACGGAAATAAGTCCCTTTTAAACCTCTTAGCGTAACTAATACTAATAGATATCGATATACTATAGCTAGGTTAATAACTTATTATTTTCTATAAGAATTTATATAGTCTATATATTATTATATTCTATAGCTAATAGGGTCGGAATTTATAGTTATAGAGATATTAATAGCTAGCTAAGGAAAGTCGCTTCTTTTAATACTTCTAAAAGAGCTAGTAGCTCTGCCTCTATACTAAAGGTTATAACGGTAGCTTACTTCGAAGCTCTCTAAGTAATAGTTCCTTAAAAAAGGGATATAATATACCCCTATAAGCTCTTTCTATCTAATAAATTATCCGTATAGGACGAATCGCTTAAATAAAGGAAGATTTTAGTAGCTTATTTCCTTTCCTACCCTCTTAGGCATAGACTATATAATCTCGTTAAATAGAGATAAAGGATAGCTTTATCTACTACTTCTTAATACCTAAGGCTAGGATTCTAGTTATACCTAGCTAGCTAAGAGACTATAAAAGAGATATCCGGTCTAGTAGAAATAGCTAAAAAAAGTAAGGAGCCTACCTTCTATTAATATTAATGTTTCTCTTACTCCTTAGCTTAAAAGGACGGATTAAGTAAAAGCTCTTTATCTAATATTAGCGTAGAGGGAAGCTTCTTATTAAGGGAATTAAGGAGGAATTTATAAGCGACCTTATCGATATAAGCGTCCTAGGTAAGCTAGATAGTCCGTTAGGACCTATTCTAAAGGATTTATATCCCTAGGAACTACTTTAGCTCCCTTAGCTTAGTTATCTTATACCTTTATTATAGGCCTTATATAGCCTCCTTAGTAGTAGCTTCTTCTTTTTTTAAGTAGGCCTAAATAATATTATCGATATAAAAGAAGACTATAATTTTACCCTTTTATATTATATATAGTTCTTAAGGGACTTTCTTAAAGCCTAGGGCTTTAAAGGAACCTATTAAATACTATTGCTAAAAGAGAGGTAATCTTTATAGTCTATATAGAGCTTTCCTAAGCTATAGAACCTTTCCTAGCTATTAAAAGCTTAGTAAAAGGTATATATAGATAACTTCTTCTTCCTTAAGTAAGTAGTTAATAAAGGAGTTAACTATATTTATTTAATCGAGCTCGAGGTCGAATTCTACTACTATAGCTATAGGGGTCTAAAAAGACATCCCTACTAAGGTAGTTACCTTAGTAGGAAGATCCCCTTTTTCTTACTAATTCCTATAAATAACTAGCTAGGCTTTATATTTTTAAAGGAAGCTATATTTATTAGTCTTATAGATAAAGACCTACTTATAGCTAAGGACCTATTTTCCTCTTACTTTTTCCTTAAGGACCTCTTTAAAAGACCCTATCTCCTTATATAAGGCTAGGTAGTCTTTCTAAGCCTAGAAAAACTAGTATCTAAAAGGGTGTTTTTTTAACTACTTTTAGTTTACTAGTAGGTCTAGGAGGTCTCTTTTATATAGCTTCCTTACTAATAGCTATAGCTTAAAGAGCCGGCCTACTATAAATGCTCTATAGGAACTATCTTCTATAGGCGTTAGATAAAAGTCGGAAAAACGATCGAAATAAAGGAGAAATTAGTCTTCTTTTATATTAGGCCCTATACCTTCCTTTACTTTTTAAAGTAAGGATAAAAAGGCAGCTAAGTAATCCTTTAAGAGAGGTGCTTTTCCTACCCCCTTAGGGGTCGAGATAGGAAGACTAACTAAAAAAGCTGCTTTTAGATCTTCTTCTTATATAAGAGGAGGCATAGGTAGGTAGGCGTATTCTAGCTCTACCGCTTTCCTATAGTCTCCTTCTTTATCTAGATTATTTAATTTAGTAGCTTCCTTTTCTTTAAAGTTAGCGTTATCCTCGACTACTTTAACGTTAGTTTCTTTTTTTATTTCCTTATCTAGGACCTCTTCTTAAGACTATTAGGAAGGGGGAATTTAGATCTTTTAAATTAGCTAATATTATAAGAGTAAGAGGGGCTATTAATCCCTCTTTCTATTAAAGAAGCTAGATTTATTAAAAGTTATATCCTTAGGCGAAATAACCTTCTATAAAAGAGGAATCTAGATCTAAAAGATATTTATAGAATTATAGCTAATAAGGTAACTAATAAAGGCTCTAGGATTAAGCTTTCTTTTCTTCTTCCTTTTTAGCTATATATTAGTAGTTATTACGTATACCTTATAGCTATAGGTATAAAGGTAGGCTAGCGAGGCCCTCTTCTTTATAAAGAGCTTAAGGGGGAATTTCTAGTTTATTCCTTAGGTCTTAAAAAGGGTCTCTAGGTCCCTATAATCCCTTAGTCCCCTAGGGTCCCTTAGGGTCTAGTTCTAAAAGTAATAGGCGGTCTTAACGACTTCCTTTTAAAGGTCGTATAGAAGCTTTATAGTAAGTCTTATTATACGGGCCCTTTCTTTTATAGCACCCCTTAATTTTTCTGCCCCTCCGTTCTAGGCCTAAGTATTTAGTACTAATAGGAGGGGTAAAATGCCCCTTTTTCGAAGCTAATTTAAAATATCCTTTATAAATAGCTCTCTATTAGACTATATCTTCTTTACTTTATAGCCGAAGTAGGATTTTATCTAGTTAATAAAGTCCTAAAAGGTAAACTAGTTATACTTACTTAAGTAGGTCTATAAAAAATAAGGGAAAACTATCCCTAAAAAAGCGTCTATAAAAAACATTACCTTAATAAAGCTTTCCTAGTCCTTAGAGACGTTAGTTTAGTCGACCTAAATTTCCTTATATAGCTAGTTTAGCTATAAAAGCGTTTATCTAGAAATTTATCTCTTAGTCTTTCCTTAGCTATAGTATTTATATTTAACGGACTTTAGGCCCTTTATTTATACGCCTTATTATTAGCCTAGCTTATATAAAGCTAGGGGGCCTAGGTAACTAAGTTATACGTGCTAAAGA